CGTCAAATTCAATGTTATTCTGAGCATTTTGGTAATCGAAAAAAGTCATATTTGTAGCACTATTTGAGCTACTGTATAATTTCTACTTCACACGTCTAAACTACACATATACTCAATATCAAGCACTTTTACTGCAGCAAGATTTGGAGAAATTCAAAATAAATGTACCCAAGTGGCAATTATCAACTTGACAATAATGTTAACTAATATTGCTCAATAATTCATGGCTATGTGCCGATGTACTGATTCTACCTAACACTTAACATACTCAATATCAAGCATTTTTACTGTAGCAATTTGAAGAAAACAAAAGTTCATATTTTTACCTCCAATGCATACTTTACCATATTTGACTACTGTAAAATAATATTGCTCAATATTTCATGGCTATGGATGGTATATCTGACTTCCACACATCTAACACTACACACTCAATATCAAGCACTTTTACTGCAGCAATTTGCAGAAATTTAAAAAAAAAGTTCATATTTTTACCTCCAAGTGGCATATTTACCTATTTGAGCTACTGTAAAATAATATTGCTCAATATTTCATGGCTATGGATTTTTTTATACATATACTCAATATAAGTTTTACTAATTTGGAAATGTCTACACGTCTTTAATGGATGTATAACTTTTCTCTATCAATATCAATTTTTACTGTAGCAATTTGGAGAAATTCAACTATAATAATCCTTTTTTTTACCTCCAAGTGGCACACTTGACCATGTTTGAGCTACTGTAAAATAATATTGCTCAATATTTCATGGCTATGGATGGTATATCTGACTTCTACACATCTAACACTACACATATACTCAATATCAAGCACTTTTACTGCAGCAATTTGGAGAAATGTAAAACAAATTCTCATATATTTCATGGCATTTCTGACTTTACAATGGATGGCAACAATAAAATCCACCTGTTAGATGTCTTCAAATATCTGGCTGAAACCGTAAAACCACAATATTACACTTAAATGCAACAATTTGGAGAAATGTAAGAACAATAAGTTCATATTTGTACTAAGGATATTAATCGTAATTCTAGGCTACTGTAAAACACACCTTACCTACAATATTTCAGAGCATAAGTGATGGTGTATCTGGCTTTAAATCTAAAAACTTACACCGCCATCTTGTGGCGCTTTAACAGCATGAATTAATTAAATAAAGTCCTATTTGTGGTTTGACCTTATTATAAGCATGGTGGCATATTTGACCACATTTGAGCTACTGTAAAATAATATTGCTCAATATTTCATGGCTATGGATGGTATATCTGACTTCTACACATCTAAGACTACACACACACTCAATATCAAGCATTTTTACTGTAGCAATTTGGAGAAATTCAACTATAAAAGTCCTTATTTTTACCTCCAAGTGGCACACTTTACCATATTTGAGCTACTGTAAAATAATATTGCTCAATATTTCATGGCTATGGATGGTATATCTGACTTCTACACATCTAACACTACACATATACTCAATATCAAGCACTTTTACTGTAGCAATTTGGAGAAATTCAACTATAAAAGTCCTTATTTTTACCTCCAAGTGGCATATTTCACCATATTTGAGCTACTGTAAAATAATATTGCTCAATATTTCATGGCTAAGGATGGTATATCTGACTTCTACACATCTAACACTACACATATACTCAATATCAAGCACTTTTACTGCAGCAATTTGGAGAAATTCAACAATAAAAGTCCATATTTGTACCTCCAAGTGGCATATTTCACCATATTTGAGCTACTGTAAAATAATATTGCTCAATATTTCATGGCTAAGGATGGTATATCTGACTTCTACACATCTAACACTACACACATACTCAATATCAAGCACTTTTACTGTAGCAATTTGGAGAAATTCAACAATAAAAGTCCTTATTTTTACCTCCAAGTGGCACATTATTATATTTTACCTTCTTAAAATTATTTTAATTTTTTTTTTTTATTTTTGTTTTTGTTATATCAAAAAAAAAAAATATAATTTTTTTTTTTTATTTTCCCATTTTGAAAAAAATTTTTTTTGTACCATTTTAAAATACTAAAAATAATTTTTTTTTTAGTTATTGTTTTTACTTTTAGAAAAAAAATTTTATGTTTTTTTTTCATTTTGGAAAAAAATTTAGGTATACCACTTATTTTAAATTTTTTTTTTTTTTTTTTAGTGTGTTTTTCTATTTATAATAATTTTAAATTTAATTTTTTATTTTTTTTTTTTTAGTATTTTATAATTTTTTTATTAATTTTTTTTTTTTTTTTTTAGTTTTATTTTTTTTTTTTTTTTTTTTTTTTCCAATTGGTTTTGTGTTTTTTAATTTGTTTTTATTTAAAATTATTTTATTTGTTTTTTTGTTTTTAAATTAAATTTTATTTTTTTTTTGTTTTTTTCAATTTTTTGGTTGAATTTTGTTTAAAATTTATATTTTTTTTTTACAATTATTTTATTTTTTTTTTTTTATAATATTTTTTTTTTTTTTTTTGTTTTATTTCTTTTTTTATTTTTTTTTTTTTTTTTAAATTGTTATTATTTATAATTATGTGTTTTTTGATATTTTTTTTTTTTAAATTAAAAATATTTTTTTGTTTCAATTTATTTTTTTTGTTTTTTTTAAATTAATTTTTTTTTATTTTTTTTTTTTTAATGTAAAATTATTTTTTTAATTTTTTTTTTTTTTTATTTTTTTTATTTTTTTTTCTTCTTAAGATTTAATAATTTGCATGAATTTATTCTTTTTATAAGAGGAAGTAGTTGTTTTTTATATTTTTATTTATTTTTTTTTTTAACCAAAGATATTTTTTTAGATATTTTTTTTTTTTTTATTTTTCTTTTATTAAATCATTTCTATTATTTTTAGGTTATTAGCGGAAAAAAGGTTTATTTTTTTTTTTAAATTGCTTTAAAGTAGTGGCCCGTGAAGCCTCAACTGGAGTGAAAATAAAACCATTATTGTTGAATTCCTGATGATATATGTTTTATAACGAGTAAGCTAACGTTAGCTGTTAATTAACGTTAATCTAACCTAAGGACAGCTGCTGGTCGACGTTATTTGACATTTTATCGAGCACTTCAGCAAGACTTTGAGAAACTTGTCGCAATTATCAACTGACAATAATGTTAACTTGTAATAATTGGTATGTGCCGATGTTGAACTAACTTAGTAATGTTTAATATCTTGTGACTTTTGGTGCCACCTAACCTATCGTTAGCTTGTCGTTTACCTTCCGCGGAACAATATAGTTCTTGGAATGTGTAACGTCTTTAATGGGATAATTTTCTTTTGGCGTATTAATATGAATGTTTCTTAATGGTAATGTTGCACAGAAGTGCTCATTTTATGGGTTTCTGGGATGGCTCCACCTGTTAGATGTCTTCAAATATCTGGTGAAACCGTAAAACCACAATATTACATTAAATGTAAAGCTATACAGTTAATATTTCTAAGATTAATCGTAATTCTAGGCTACCAAAACACACCTCACCTACAGTGTTTGGGACAGAGCGGAGTCAGTGAGGGTGACTGGCCTACACCGCCATCTTGTGGCGGTTTAACAGCATGATTAATTTAAAGCCTATTTGTGGTTTGACTTTATTATAAGCAGTGGTGGGAGGTATTTACTCCAGTACTGCACTTAAATGATAATGTGCATTATTCTGAAATGGGCAATTCTGCATAATGAAAATGTTTGCTACTTAAAATAGGCTGTATTATGATAATGATACGTTTGTACTTTGCACCTTGCATGACTTTTACTTTTAACAGGGTATTTCTACACTGTGGTATTATCACTCTCAGTAAAGTACAAGATCTAAGTACTTCTTCCACCTCTGAATACAACCTAATATTTATCAAAACAGTAATTGAAAAGGCATACGCTCTTTGAGTATATATTGTGTTATTCAAATAAATTACACCTACAAAATATGTTCAACTTGCCCTTGACTTTATTAACAAAGAGATTGGTAGCGACAATCAGCTGGACTGAATGTGGCTTTGTATTTTTGCATTAAAAGGCATAGTGGGTTATGTGACAGATTAACGTGAGCCTTTAAGCCAGTTTAAAAGCTATAGCCTGTGTTTTGCTTAGACTCTCCTCTATACTTTTTATTTATCTAATCAGGTCAAAGTTTCATTGAGATTAAGTTTTCTTTTTCCTTAGAGACAAGCCTAAGAGGGCAGTAAGAAGCATACATGTGCAGGAAAGAAAAAGAGGTCTGTCTGATAGATGGATGGATGTGTAGTTAAGAAGATAGACGCATGTGGACACCCAAAAATGTGTAATTATTGAGCATCTCATTCCAAAATTATTGGTATTATTGTGCTGCTATGACAGTCTCCACTCCTCTAAAGAAGTCTTTCCACAACATTGAACATTGGCAATTTCAGTTCTTCCCAAAGGTGCTGGATGGGGTTGATGTCGGATCAGGTTCTTCTACACCAAAATGGGGAAAAGATTTAACCTGGTTTTGTGCAGGAAGGTCACTGTCATGTTGAAACAAGGGAAGGGCCTAACACAAACTTAACACAAGGTTGGAAGCACCAAAACATGCATTAGTATTGGTTATTCATGTAACTGTATGCTGTAGCATCATGGACAAGGGTGCACGACAGACAGACAGACAGACAGAGGATTGGGACCAAAAAAGAAAATGTGGGACACAACAATACCTGAAATCTGAAAAGTCAATCTGTCCCAGAGCAAGAACAAATGTGAATGCGCACTATCAGGAGTTAAAATGATGAAACTGTTCATACAAACTATCGTTTTCAAACCTGCTGGAAAGTACACGACCCGCATTGCGCAGCGACAGTTTAAGTTCAGGCATGCACAGCGTCTATTATTCTGGTCACATCCCTCTATTGGTAACGTTATCATTTCATCACTTCACTACCCAGTTGAGTTTGTACAGAGCGGATAGTGTTTCCAGCGGGGGCCACACCTCTCCCGTCGCTCTGGATTGGCCCTTCTCTCTTCACTCCCTCCACTGAGTTCCGCGTTGCAGAGCATTTAAGTCCTGCAGCATTTCCTCCAACTTCTACTCTCAGGCTTCAGGAGATCGTCTGTCATCATGTCCGACCGAGAAGCCTTCGACACCAACGTGGTCACCATGACCCGGTTCGTCATGGAGGAGGGCAGGAAGGCGAAAGGCACCGGAGAGCTTACAACGCTGCTGAACTCAATGTGCACGGCGGTGAAGGCCATCTCCTGCGCTGTGCGCAAAGCTGGGATCGCCCACCTGTGAGTAAACAATCGCCACTGAGCAGAAGATGTACGGTTATAATATAACAGTGGTAGCACGTCGTGCACAGCTCTTTTAGTGCTCATAAGTACCACGGACAGAAGCTTCAGTCCCATGCATCCACGTTGGCACACACTGAGCAGGAGATTCAGGTTTTCTCTGCGCCAATCAGGAAACGCATACCTGAGACCTTCACGCCCACTTTTATATGATTTAGGCTGCATGCAATGTATTTATTTTTTATTTATTTCCACTATGTATATCTATCTATATAGTGTCGGTTATTTGCATCCTTATTACCAGGATCCATTCGAAAAGCATGTGCAAGAGAAACCCATGCAATGTTTACTTAATGTTTAAATGAAGTATCTATTAGTAAATATATACAATCTAGTGTTTGTATTTGTTGTGGTGGATTTCTGCTCATGCGACATACATGAGCAGAAATCTGTATGTGCTAAACCTTTTGTGGCTGATGAGACTGAGTCTGATTCAGACTTCACTCTCGGGGGTTGATGCAGGATTTTACTCCATCACCAACTAACATCTGCAGTTAAAAGTTAAAAGTCATGCATCATTTGCAGTTTTTTTTTTATTGTTTACATCTACACTGGAATCTGTAGTTACCATGATTTGTAATCCAATCAAACTCATCCCAGTACAAAACTGAAGAGCTGTTTGTGTTTAAAATATCTTTATATAATAAAGGTTTCACAAAAGTAGAATTGATCTGGTATCATGTGTTTAGATAAGTGACATTTCTTCTGTCAGTGAAAGTCATTTCAGCCAGCTTTCAGTTTCATTAGTTTTCACCTTCACTCTCCCTGTTTTTATCTTTTTATGTCTTTACATCAGCTATGGCATTGCTGGCAGCACCAATGTTACCGGTGACCAGGTGAAGAAGCTGGATATTCTGTCCAATGATCTGTTCATCAACATGATCAAGTCATCTTTTACCACCTGTGTGCTTATTTCTGAAGAGAATGAAAACGCCATCATTGTAGAGCCAGAAATGAGGGTAAGTGGGTCTGGGTGGCTGGTGGAGAAAAACTGTCTTTTCATTTGAATGTTAAACCAGGGGTCTTTGCTACTCCTGAAGGCGTGTGAGTGAGATTAACATTTAAGGTTATTGCTGAGCCTGGAAAACCTGCTTTCATTTATTTGGGATCTCAACCCTGGTGTGACCCGTCAGCACCCTTAAACAGGATCATCCAGTTTTTTCCTGTTTTTGCCTTAATCAAAATGTCAAATCAAATGTGTTTTTTAAGTTAAACCGGTTCAGTCAAAAAAGTGATTGGGTTTCAGTTTCTGCCAAAATAATTGTTATATGAAACTACTTTCAGACAGTCCCCTTGCACAACAGGGATCAAACTTGTGACTCATTGTCACGGGGGGGGGGTACACTTAAATGTTTCCTGTGAATATGTAACCCGCTTGTGGGACAGTATTTGAAGACACAGTAACTGAATGTAAACATAACTTTTGTTTGTTTACAAGAAAACTCTACAGGGCACCTTTTAATGACAGACATGAAATCACGATTATTTCTACCACTCTTCTTTGTCTTCCAGGGTAAATACATTGTGTGCTTTGATCCTTTGGACGGCTCCTCCAACATCGACTGTCTCGTCTCCATCGGAACCATCTTTGCCATCTACAAAAAGGTACTAACACAGGTTAAAGTTCCCATAATGAAGAGTGTTTGTATCCTTGATTTACAAGCAGAATGATATAATTTTACCATTTTTAAATGAGCTTTTATATTTGAATTAGTCTAAGATTTTAGGCCAAGACATGTCACTTAGACTGAAGATAGTCACTGTCTTCACTTTTGGCCAATATCATGCCAAAAATGTTACACTGATGATAAATGAATCATGACATTAGTTCATATTGTTTCCATCAGAACACAGATGATGAGCCCTGTGAGAAGGACGCCCTGCAGCCTGGAAGGAACCTCGTGGCGGCAGGCTACGCCCTTTACGGCAGCGCCACCATGATGGTGATCTCCACCGGCAACGGAGTCAACTGCTTCATGCTCGACCCAGTTAGTACTCTCTTGAAGGCCTTTGTGCCTTACAAATTGATTTTGTACAAAGCACGCGGTTCTGAGGTTATTCATAACATTTTCTGCTTTTTGCTCATCAGGCAATCGGTGAATTTATACTGGTTGATCGGGACGTGAAGATCAAGAAGCGAGGCAAGATTTACAGCTTGAATGAGGGTTACGCAATGCACTTTGAACCCGCTGTAACAGAGTACCTGCAGAAGAAGAAGTTTCCTCAGGTAACACTCAACCAAATATACTGCTTTACTGGAGCAGTTGGAGTTTGTACTAACGCAACATTTTAAATGACTGTAGGATGGCACTGAGCCCTACAACGCCCGTTACATCGGTTCCATGGTGGCAGACGTCCACCGGACGCTGATGTATGGGGGCATCTTTTTATACCCAGGAAATTTGAAGAACCCCAAAGGAAAGGTAAGGTCTCATTGCTGCTTTCTCCTGCTCCTGCTCCCTCACGTATTAAACTGTTGAGAGCTGGGCACAAAATTAGCACCAGCTAAATGGCAAAATATACAAGTGTCCAGTAGATTTCCTCATCAAGCAACAAAACAAAACAATGGTAATCTGTTGAGTGGCTGGTAAAACTTGTACATTATCCATATTCCATGTTTTTGTTATTGTTGGTACATCCCATGAAAGGTTTGTTCATCGACAAATCAAATCTGTGCGTTGCTCCCACCCAAAGGCCATTGGTTCCTACTGAAGACGTACATTATTAAATACAGGAGGTGGATGAATGCACTGCTTCATTTTTAAAAATGGGGTCAAATAATTTCTTAGCACTGGCACTGTAGTTTTTAGCAAATGTTACTCAGACAGGTGTAAATAGTGTGTTTGTTGTCATTTTCATATATTTATGGATGGCTTAAACTGGACCTTGAATGTTGGCCTATATTCAACCCCGGGTTTGGTATGCTAGCAAGTTTTTACAGCTGCAGTACAATGTATATGGGGTAGACTCAAAATAAACTACAGTGTCTATGTTCATCATAATGAATGAGCATGTCTCCCAGTGCAACAGTGTGGCTCATTGATGTGTTTAACAAAGGTCTATGACACAGAAAAATTAGATATATCAGGCTTTGGTTAAACAGACAAAACTTAATAGGATGATTTCATTGTTGGTTTGTGTCTTTTCATGGGCTTTGTTGATATTAACAAAAGTGGAGAATACCACCAGATTTAACCTTGAATAACATAACCAAAAGCTATTTTAAAAAAAAACCCACTTGCTGTGATATTGATGCTTTGAGACATTTTCAGGGGAGACTTCCACCAAAAACAGTTTGTCACTTGTAACATGAGACCATACTGAAGAAAGTGTCACAATGTTGTGTCTTCACTCTCCACATCCTCCCAGTGTTTGCAAGACTGAGCCTAACAAGATGTTGTCACATTTTTAAAAGATGGCAAGCAGCTGACTTGAGAGAGACTGAGAGAGGGCATAATGATGAAATAAAAAAAATAACGTAAAATATGCAATTTATTATGATCACGACTGACATTAGATTTATCTCAAATTTACAGATTTTATTTTAAATACAATAAAACTAGTAGAAAATAAAATAGTCAAGCCAACAAAAAATAACTAAAGATTTAAAAGATATGATTTTTGTTTATTTCTGGAAAATCTGTCGTAAAACAATAGACAGCTGCCCATGTGAATGTTGAAACAGGCTTAGTTTGCTGTAGTCATTCTTCCTGTTCATACAGGCCATTAAGAGATCTCTTTCTAATGCATTTTAGATGTTACCTTGGAGGGATAGTGACAAAGAGAGAACAGTTTATACTAACATTATACCGTTAGATCTCTACTTGACTTGTCTAACTGACTGCTGAAGCCTTATATTAGCTTCAGATAAACTTTAAAATATACATTCAATGGGACTGCAGATCATGTCCCCCATATTTTACATTGGAGGGCAGTAGGAAGAGAGATCTTCATGGCCAGTATGAACATGAGAAATTATTGGAGAAAGAAAAACCTGTTTTAACTTTCTCTCACAGGAACCTGATTATTGTTTTAAGACTTAAACTGTTACAGAAGTATAGCATCATATGAGGGGAGAGCCAGTCGACTATGTATGAAAGAGCTAAATCCTTCAGAGCATTGTAAACTAATAATAACACTTTAAATTAGAATATTCCCATTGGAGAGTTTGACATTAGGACCAGAAACTAAACTCCACCCCTTCCTCACAGCTGCGGCTGCTGTACGAAGGCAACCCCATGGCCTACATCATTGAGCAGGCGGGCGGCATGGCCTCCACCGGCCTCGAGACCATCCTGGACATCCAGCCTGATGACATCCATCAGCGGGCTCCCGTGGCTATGGGCTCCCCCGAGGACGTCCTGGAGTACATCGCCATCTACAAGAAACATGCCAAGAAGAAGTGAGAGTGCACCGACTCACTCTCACAACCTTCACTATCCAGCAAAAAAACCTTGTATCTCCACAATGTCTGCTTTCACAGGACTCAGGATGTCGGCCTCCTTTGAGCTTGATGTAAATGTATTTTTGATAATGTCTTATGGAGTTTGAAATGGATTAAAACATTTTGGGGTGTTCTCAGTTAAAACACAAAAATAACCAAAGTTGGAGTTACAAGGTTTTCATGTCATACCAGCAATATTTATGTTTTATTAAGCTGACGGATGATAGACAGAAGGTGGTTCAGTGGAAACATGGAAGCTCTGGCTTATAAGCTTAATATAAACGCACATTAACTCACACACATTCCACAAAACAAATACCAAAGACCGAAAATGTGCCAAAAAAACAGACAAATGCACTTTGAATAAATAAAACCTGAAGACTTTTCCTCAATTTACCTCCAGTTGTGCCTTATTAGAATGAACATGCATTTTACATGCGTGAAGGACCAAACACAAACCTCTATGCAACAAAACTGGATGCTTTTTTGTTATGTGAACAATTACTGTGGTATGATGAAGTTTCAATAAATTTAAATGAGAAGAAAAATCTGTGTTTGTAAAGTGTCATCTTACTAACTCACCCTTTCACTAACATGTAGAGTGTATTCAATGACGGTTACAGATGCAATCCTTGTATTTTAAAGAAATGTAAGTATTCCAAGAAACACGCAGCCTTTTACATATGTGGATGGAAATACTGAATGGGAGACTAAATAAATAAATGTAAAAAGGAAGAATATGTACTGTCTACAAAAGTTATGAGATACTTTATCCAGAGCAGTTGACCTTTAAGCTAAAGGTCAGTGGAACCTCATGTAGCCCTGATGACATTTAAAGCTCACTTGAGCTGCCGTTGTGATGAGTCTTCTTCTACTCTAATAATTTTAAATTCACATCTCTTTCTTCTTCACTCTTTAACCAAAGTGCGTTGTAGCCCAGAAACATAAAATACTGAATTAAAACACCTAAATGATAGAAGTTGTTTTTAGTTAGTAGGTTAAATTAAGCATATGGAATAAATAGATTACAGGATATTATGTACATGCCAGCGTGATGCTTTAGCATTAGTAACCAAATGAACTTGGATATATAGAAATTTGTTCCTCTATTGTCACAGGCTGTTCTCAGGTTCATTTGCAAAGAAATGTGGTTAAAATACCGAGAATTTACTTCATAGCTCTCATGTTACACAAGTGTTATGTTACATGTTGCAAGCCTTTTGACTTAAACGAACGGTGCTTGTCTTGTGCAGGATTAAACTGTGCCAATCTCTACAGCTGACACTGGACACCCCCTCTCCCATCTCCAAATACACACACACACACCACACACACACACACACACACACCCACCCACTCTCTCTTCCACTCGACTGCACACACAAATAGATCCCCTGGCTTGCCTTCATGGCTCTGGGTATGAAAAGGACTTGGCTGGTAATGAGGTTCCTCACTTTCTCGCCGTCGTCGGCCCGATCTGCTGCCCACCAGGAGGGACAGAAGGACCAGAACCCAGCATGTCGGACCAGTCAGCGTTTGACACAGACGTATGGACCTTGACCCGGTTCGTCATCGAGACCGGCCGCCAGGCTAAGGGGGCGACCGGTGAGCTGACCCAGCTCATTAATGCCATTCTGACCGCCATCAAAGCCATTTCCTCTGCTGTACGCAAGGCAGGCCTTGCCCACCTGTAAGTACTGAGGTACTGCAATAGGCTTGTTGTGAACCATTGATATGCACCATTACATTATCATAGTGTGCGTGAGTAAACAAAGACTAATGTGCAGATCGGATCTTTTATAAGAAATAATAATGTTATGATACCTTATTGAACTTTGTAAGACGTGTGTTGTTTGCATCCCTCCACAGAGAGGTCAGAGGTCAAGGTCAGCTGCAGAACAGCAGGTTCAGGAATTTGGTGACTTGCTAAAGCTGGCCGTTTGACATTTCGCTTCACTCCCACAGTAGATTTAGCCAAGAGTGACTAGTGGGGAGGCTGTGTTCCTACTTGAGAATTTAAAAGTTGTCTGATTTCAACACTCAACCATAGAAGCAGTGGAGAGACACAGTAGTGCTGATATGATTGATTGTGTAGTGCTGCTGTATTGTAAGCAAGACAGTGAGCTTTGTTTGATTTTAGCTGCATTTCAACACTCTAATCTGGAAGTGATAGAAGACTGCAGCTTTGTCGAGCAGGAGATAAAATGATAAAATTGTGATTGCACAACATTTTTTATTTGTTGAAAAGTGACACAATAACAAGTTATTTATGACAGGAATTGGCCCTGGAGAGAAGCCGGTGTACTGCAGGGTTATATGAATTCATTAAGAGGGTCAATTTCTGGCTGTGGTTGTGAGGCGAGTCTGCCCTTTAGGCTGCATACAAATCTTTACATCTAAGCACGTCCCTGTCTCTAATCTTAGCCTGATTTTTGGAGCTTGTTGAGAGGGATACACAGCCTGAGTGTAAATGCTCAGCCCTTAAAGGCACCAGCCCCTATAGACCATTATGTACCATCAAACTTAAGTCAATTATAAATTAATAATTTAACTATTCTTAGCTGGTTATACAGCAACCTCCTGTAATATGTGCCCACAGGAAGAGTTAGTTGTTGACAAATGGTTTAATAAACACGTACGTCTGCTTACAACTATATTATACTGTTATGAGCTGTCTATTAAATGCTTGTATACTTCCTTTAAATGCTAAATGGGGGGTTTTACGTGAAGTGTTGCCTAGAAAATATTCAATATGAAAGATAATTACTGAAACAGTGCCAACTCAAGAAGAATGAATCATTATTCACACACATTGAAGTTACGTAACCAAAAACAAATCAACATTGTTTGAAACCAAATGAAGATAATTAATGCTCACAAGCTGGCTAGATCCATATTTTACATTTGACTGCTACACTGGCTTTTTTGATTTAACTGAAAGAAAAAGAAAGTTGATCATGATCCATTTTGTCTTTGTTGTCATTCCATGAGTCGTGATGAGAGTTTTGTTTCTACCAGCTCTTCTAGCTCCTACAAGTAGCTGACATGCTAACATGTTGCCTCTCAGTTCTATGTGTGTGAGACTGAAGCTTTGGTTCATTGGTCCGCACAGGCAGGGCTTGGCAGGCTCAGTGAATGTGACGGGGGACGATGTGAAGAAGCTGGACGTGCTGTCTAACGACCTGGTCATCAACATGCTGCAGGCCTCCTACAGCACCTGCTGCATGGTGTCTGAGGAGAACAAGGAGCTCATCATCACTCCCAAAGATAAGAGGGTGAGAGGAGAACACGATGCAATAACACTGGATGATGATGGATACTAGGAGATTTTCATGTTTGAAGTTGCATTAGGCAGACATGTTGTGTAGGAATAGACCTGTCCTATAATTCACAAGTTGAGTCAATGAGAAGGAGAAGGGAAATATTCTCCACACTCATATATTAACTAATATCAGTGAGTGCTAAAGTGAGAAAGTTTGGCACATCTGAGAAGAGAAAAATGTTCCAGATGATCCTCGGTCCTTTAGTCTTTCAGAAATTGAAACAGTTACGTCATGTTTCCACTTGGTGCCACGAAAGTGGGAATTTACAAGATGCAACTTACAAAACTCTGCATGGTAGCCTGTAGGCCTGTAGGTGGACCCACTACAGTGAACAAAATATTTCAGCATATATTTTTATTGTGTATTAGTTATATCTAAGTATTGCTTATTATCCTGGATTTTTCCTGAAAATGTCCAGAGATTCCACGTGTGAGATAATATGACAACTGAGGTTATTTATACAGGTAAGTATACAATAAAGTTTTGGAGGATGGACCGACCATTCAGTGGCTTTGAGTCTGGTGGAACTGCTTGTTCTGGATTACTGATCATACCTGTGTATTTTCAACCTTTACCCTTAGTTTGTGCTTATTTTAGGGTAATTCATCACACACTGAATATTGTGAGTGTTTAGTCTTGAATATAGTATCAAAATTAATATCAACAACTAACAACTCAGTGCTGTTTAGGTCTTCTTGTGACTTTGTTATCCCTATGTTGAGCCTGGCAGTGATCATTATTTGTCATTTAAAAAAGAGTGTGAAATAAATGTTTATTTGGTTATTCATTGTTTATTTATCAGGGACAATGTTCAATACATGTAAAGTGCCAAATATAGCTAAAAGCTCATTTTCATCTGTGGTCCCTGGGCAGAGGCCATTAGTGATGTGCAGGTTACAGAAATAAAAGATCAGAAGTAGTAAATCAAAACCTTACTGTTTTCTGATTCTGATTTCAATTTAATAGGAGTGTTTTCCCTAATTCTTCATAACTTCGTGGCCTGATTTTATTTCGTCACAGGGAAAGTACGTGGTCTGTTTTGACCCTCTGGATGGCTCCAGTAACATCGACTGTTTGGCTTCTATCGGCACTATATTTGCCATCTACAAACGGGTGAGTCTGACTGACCTCTGAGAAGATACACAAAGCACGCAGGCACTGAAAAGAAAATTCTCATATCACAAAGTGTTCATATTTACTGTTGTTTAGTAAAAAAAGATTTTCAGGAATAAGAAAAAGAATGACATTGCGACAGTGCGAATGCCCCATTTTTTAGATTATGTAACATGGACTTAGAGTTCATGAGACGTTCCAGATAGAGTAAATCAGATCAGATAAAGCATGTAATGTACTAGGAGAGGATACAAAATCCCTGCAGCAAAACTCTCTTTACATAACAAAAATATGTAGATAAGCTTTTTTCAAATAATAATGATATTCATCACATTTTATGAAACATGAGTATGTGAGTGAGTGTGAATAGTTTCATGGTGACGATACATCAGGATATTTAAATACACAGCTGAACGTGCAGTAATGCTCTGCAGACACAAGTGGGCACTGCTGTCCAGCTAATCCAGTTATCTGCTCCTACACTGCAGCCAAAGGGAGTCCTTTGCACAGTTGCAGTCTGGTTTACGAATGTGACTTTCTCAGACAGTATATTCACATCTAGTTGGGTATATCATAACTCACAGACTGTTGTTTCCATTTAGCACCCTCATTATAGTTGTTGATTGAACACTTTTTGCTGTTTTAATACAGTCCTTGAAACAAACACTCCTAGGTTAGTGGCAATTGAGAAACTAAATGATTCCACTGTTGATGTTTTCTTCTTTGTTGGTTTATATCCCCCCGGGTGGTTCAGGTAACAGACGGGGAGCCCACTGACAAAGATGCCCTGCAGCAAGGAAACAACATTGTGTGTGCAGGCTACACTCTGTACGGCAGTGCCACCCTGGTGGCCCTCAGCACCGGCGCTGGCCTCAACTTCTTCATGTTGGACCCTGTGAGTATTTCATACTCCCTCCCTGTTTTCTGTGGAGACCTGCGTGTCAGTAGTGCTCTGTGATGGTTGAACTGAGAGGAAGTGAGGTACCCTCAGATATCCACTGCTGTCTTCTTTCATTATTCTCACTGTTTACTGTTATATGCTCTTATTGCTCTATATAGCTGCTTTTATTTGAGAAAACACTTATTATCCTGTCGATCATGCCTCCATGCTGCCCGTCTACCCAGGGATGCAGGGACTGTAAACACATAAATCCCTTTTTATGTGGCAGAAAGTGTGCCACCTTAACTATCCTTGTATAAAGTATAACTCATATGATGCAGTATATAGGTCTTCAAGGGAAAAAAAGGTGCATACATTTAAGACTGGTTTAAGGATATCAGCCTTATTTGTATGTATTGGTGGTTGTTTCCATTTTCAGTATCTGACTGGAGGTCATCTTTTTTCATTTTCACATAATATTTAATCACTTTTTAGTCATCTTTTCAGTCAGTAAAACCATTGTATCACCTTTCACACTTACCCATATTATATTCTTCATCTTATTCCAGATTGAGATTTACCAGCAAATAGAAATCTACAAGGAAAACATTTTTTCTTTTGCACAGAGGCAACAGCCAATCATTGGGAATTTGTCTTTGGAAAAGCAGCTTTAGTTATTACAGGATGAAAAGGTTCACCGTAGTAATGTTGTTATGCATCCAGAAACCTGTGTTTTACTGTTTCCAAGCATACAATTTACAAACCACAAGACCTTTGTTATAATACAGAACATCTATCTTTACACACTTCTAGCATTTTGTAATGGACAGCAAAATACGACACATTTTCTTTCCCTGGAAACATCAGAGTAAAATGTGATGCCTCAGTATCCTCAGAATCCAGAGAGGTCTCCTCTTACACAGTAAAATAAACACAATGTACATTGGTGTTCCTCAGGCCATCGGTGAGTTCATCCTGACTGAGAGGAACGTGAAGATTAAGCAGAAGGGGAAGATCTACAGTATAAATGAGGGCTACGCCAAGTACTTCCACCCCTCCATCAACGAGTACCTCAAGCACAAGAAGTACCCAGAGGTGAGAGCGTATTACAAAATGTAACACCATATAAAAAGTACCACACAAACATAAAAAATTCCCACCTTAACTTTGAGTTTTGACATTGATCAGTTCTACTTTGTGTTTGTGGTTTTGAATCTGATATCTTTAACCAAAGCTGTACAGTAGAAATGAGCCTCATCTATTTTGCTGACACACAGCGACACTCATGCTCAACCCTGAGGCAGGATTTCAAACACCAGCGGCCTCTCGCACTCATCATGTGAATCCTGACCAAGCGTTTGCTCCGGTAGAATGAGTTTACATGAGGACTTTTGGCTTGCAGAACAAAAAAAAGCTGTTTGTTTCAAAGGGTATCAGCAGATTGGACTTCTTTTAATGTTTCTCAACTGCAGAAATAATATAAAATCCTGTTAACCTCCAAATGAAAAAATACTTTTTAACTTTTCCTCGAAGGAACTGTCCTTTTTAAGCTAGGAATTGGCCTCCTTCACTTTCTCCTCCTTTGATTTTATTGTGAAAGTGAATAGTGATGTTAAATAATTTGCCCTTGTTGGCTGATGGTATGGTTCGCTGCAGCTCAAACAGACTGAGTGACAGCAAGATCAATTACTAATTATTAGCAGTTTGCAGTTGTTTTAGGGGTAATCTTTGCTCTTTACAATTACATGTTCAAATAAAATGGCAGAAAGTTATGATAGCATAGCGCACTAGCTAAAAAAGACACAGTTTAAATATGTCATATAGCTTTATTTAATAAACCAATGTAAGGAAATGCAAGATGACATTTTAGTTGAAAATCATGAGTTTTAAAAGTAAAAGTAAAGATGCTTCATGCATCCAGGTACCGCAGGTAGAGTGGGCAAAGAGTAACCATCCTAACCCAGACATGTGATTAACAGTCAGTGGAGCGTGACACTTGGGTCAGACAGGATGAAGGGTGTCAGCTCGGTCAGCTGAGCTGCAGAATGGTGACACAGTGCAGGAAACAACGTGTTCCTCAGGAAACTGCAGCGTCTCATCTGGAAACTCTGATCTTCACACACATGCACACTCAGCACTTCTCCATCATGGTCACAAACATGAGTGCAAAGTTAGTTTCGTCATCAGCATCCTTTTCATCAGTAATGTGTTCACTGATAAACCGCACTTTAATGAAATATCAGCTAAAATGTCCGTCCAACTCAAAAATCTGATAAATTTATTTGATACTATTTGTCTGTCTGTCTGTCTGTTTATGAGTATGTTTCAAGCACTTCCACCAAACTATGACATAATACACAGCCTCCGCTTGTCATTATAACGGATAGCTGTTTATATGTGTTTACATGTTGCAGCTGCGCTCGCTGATATTGGTTGCAGAGTGTTGGAGAAGCAGCATTCAGTTTTTATGCACCACATATCTGGTACAAAAGAAAGTTTTAATGTGTCTTTTTATTTTGTCATGTGTTTGTCTTATATGTGTAAAGCACTTTGCATTGCCTTGTTTTTGAAATAAACTTGCTTTGCCTTTTATTCTTTTACAGCTATTAATTTAATGCTAGAATAAAATACAAACATTAGGGTTATTTGTATATTATTAGTTAATTTAGTGGTTCAGTATTTTTTTCTGCAAATGTAAGTTTTCGTGCGGTTATCAATGAGTCACCTTTCCTGAAAGTACATTTTGTCGAAAGTGTCGACACGAAAGGACATCTTCCACCAGTTAAACACTGGTTGAACACTCATCATCATGTCACACATAACCATCATGACCCAGCACAATGCAGCAGTGACCAGTGTTACTCACTGTCGTACGCATGTTGTATTATGACACAGCAAACACCTGTTGCACGAGGTTGAACTTAAAAATGCAGAAGTTGCTGGAAAGACCCGTAAGGAAGTTTAAAACTAGTTTAAAGGTGGTGACCTTTCTCCTTGTGAAACATCTCAACATTAGAATCAATCCTCTCTTCTCTTTTCTAAACCAGGTGTGCTTAAAGACAGGGACTTCCACCTGCTGAAACAAAATTCTGCAGTTGGCAACTCGCTATCACAGGTTGTAAATCCTGAACGATTTTCAAGGTTGAAATCTGGGAAATCGGATCTGATTAGTCCACAAATCTTTTGATAACTTCCTAAACCATCCGCCATGGATACAACATTAATGTAAAATAAGATAATGTATCATTCTGGGTTGGATTTCCATTTAAAAACAAGTAAAATGATGAATCAGATGTAAGTGTGTGAGCCACAAGCAGATGATTTTAACACTAGATGTATAATACTGACACCTGGTTCACACTCACACTTGGTTGCAAACTCCTGCTTGCAAAGTCAGGTTAACACCACCTGATCAGTGCACTCTGGCTGAGGTTCATTTCTATGCACATCTTTCCATTAACAACGTCCCCATGCTCTTTTGCTACTTCCTCTACTCTTTCCTTTTCATTTTCACTTCAATTATTTAAGGAACTTTCATGTTGTCTCAACTGTTGCCAGCTGGATGTGTTTTTTGTGTTTGTGAGTGTTGCATAGTTTGGGTGGGTATGTTTTTGAGAAATACTATGCAAACACACTTACACACACACACACTCAGGATGACTGGGATGTGACTCAGCAAGCACATGACTCTGCATCACGCTGTGCGGGTCTGAACACGAAGCTCCCGTCAGTCTCAACTCATGTTCTACTTCACACAGACTGCTGTTTTAGTGCGCTTTGCTCACTTTGACTTTGGTGCATTAAACTTGGTGGAAATAGATCCACTTTCCACAAATAAAACTGATCAAACACTGAACGTTTCATATTCGGAAAGTCCACTTGAAACAGCCTGTCTTTGTAGTAGGAATGAGTTGTGTGTAATGCAGTGAGTCCCTTCTTTAATGTATGTTCCAGCTGCTGCAGATGGACTTTGACCCGTCTGTTGTTTGCTGTTTTTCCTCAGCAGTAGGTCAGAACGGCTCATGATCTCTGAACAAATGCAGATCTGCTGAAGCTGCAACTTTCAGCCGCCTGACCTTTTTATACATCACCCTTTATAATGAAACAGTGGTGTAACTATACAACAACAATGCACAGAATGCATGTAACCAAACCAGTTTTCTCTCATACCAAATATTTTATGTCCTGTCTCACTCTGCAAAACTGCTTTGTAACTGATCCCTCAAAAAAGACTGTTGTTGATCATTTAGTTCTCTATCAGTGAGCAAATAATTCAGTTTGTCTTTGTCAACAGAGAAAGAGCCCTGTAAGCGAAGCTCCAGCCTTCCCTTTTACATGTAGAATGGTAATTCTTTCTTGTAAAACACTTGTCTAGAGTTAACATTGTTTGTACCAAACAGTTCCTATAAAAGGTACCGGTTTATTTCGACCTGTCAGGCTGAAATTGAAGTCTTAATTGTCAGTAAAACCACAGTGTCCATGTCCAGTGTTTGTGACCAAACTGGTATAGACCATGTGTAATGTTTCATTAGTGTGTAATCACCTGAAAATAAGAATCATAATGTTTTCGTCACCTTAGAATGAGCCGTTTTTACCTGCAGAAGAAGTGGATCCTCTTCCACGGAGGCCGCCATGATGAACCGCCACGGACAAACCAAACACTGGCTCTAGATATAGCCTATGGTTTTTGTTAATGGCCAGTGTATTTTCTCCTACATGCTTCACAACCAGTTCTCAATCCCAGGTCGTCAAATAGTGACGCGAGAGGTACTCAGTTGGTTGCAATCTGCAGCTTCACAGCTAGATGCCACTAAATCCTACACACTGGACCTTTAAAGCCGACTGATGGCTCTGCTTTCATGGAAAGTAAGAAGGCAAATAAAAGGCAGGTTATCTAAGTAGTCAAAACAAGAGACATGTCCATATAAGTGTCTGTCTGTATTGTGTGGAGTCGACTGTTTTCATAAGAATTACGAAGGAAATTGGAGAGCATGTTATCAAGTTAAGCAGTCAAAACACAAAACAACTTTATGTAACTTTGTTGTTTAGAAGTGACTGTCTGCATTGTGTTTGTCTGGTGAGCTTCAGAGAATAGAGATAACCTGCAGTCATGTGTATCTATAAAAAGTGTTGTAGACAGCAGCCTTTAAAAAATCAATTATCACAGTGACTTGAGAAGGGAACACTGAGTTCACAGAAAGGCTTTGAGTGGATCTTCACTACTCCAACACATACAGCGAGGTTTTTAATTTAGGTGTAAAATTCTTTATACAGGCATATTCTGTGGGTAATGCTTTATCACTGGATTCCAATCACATGAACCACAGCTGCTCTTCGCTATGAAGGAGAAAACAACCAACGTTCAAGCCAGTAGAGGGACATACTGAAAGGAATATCACCTATAATACATAAAAGTTATATTAAGCAGAGACACAGACTAGACTCTTGCTACAGTCATGTGCTAATATTTAAAATGTACCTTTGTTTTCTGCAGGATGGCAGCGCCCCCTACGGAGCACGTTATGTGGGCTCTATGGTCTCTGATATTCACCGCACCATCGCCTACGGAGGGATCTTCATGTACCCCGCCAACGAGAAGAGCCCCAAAGGAAAGGTACACATTGACCCTCACCTCAAACCATCAGAGTTTGGGATTTCCTCATAAGCCTCTTAAACAATGCCAGTTATTAACGGGGCTGTACTGGCTCTAAATGTTTGACTCAGAGTGGCCTACAAAAACTTATAACAACTATATAGTTCCTATTAAATCATGAGCATTAAGCATGATCAGCCCAACTGTGAGATGATCTGACTCTAACTCAAAACTAGTACGAACTTCATGTCCATATTTCCAGTGTGCCACTGATTCTGAACCTCCACAGCACAGGGCACTGGTTGTAGGTACCTCACAGCTTCAGGCCCTTGTTGACAAACAGTACAGTGGCTCTGGCAGTACTGTAACCTGAGGCTGGAGGTGTTATTCTCGTCCTGTGATAAATAAAGCTCAGAGACCGTCGAGGCTGGTCATAAAGATAAATGACAACCTCTCACCCATTTATCCAGGACATACTGCCATTATTTACATATCTAACTGTATTTTATTATTCATGTGCTCACATTACAAAACAAAACATTCAAATAACATTCTAATTTTGACTTTAATAACGGCGTGTGATTAAGTGAAGTGGAACAGCTTCTGATGGTGTCTTTGACCTTAATGCTCCTGAAAACATTACAGCATAGTTTGTCTCATAATGACCCAGATCCTAATTACTGACTATTAACTTTATGTATTACATACTGAATGTAGGCAAGGCAGGTTATTTATTTAGCACATTTTAAGTACATTGGCAGTTTAAAGTGCTTTACAAATTGCATAAAACAAGTAAGAATAAGACCTAAGAATAAAAACCAAAACACAATTAAAGCATTAATAAGGGATTAGGGTTTGTAAATGGTAAAACCAAAGCTGGAAAAAGATCAAATATAGGTGTAAACAGAGTCATATGAAACCCACTGTTCCTTTTAAATTTCAATGTGTACCTATCACATGTACATGGTCTCAGAATCTATAAATGTTTTCACATTGTATAGATATGGTACCTGATAGCAGGATATGCTACTTTGAAACAGCTTTTTTTAACAGTTGGATAACATCTAATGACTCAGACAAAATGGAGAAAATGTATTCTTTGTGCTCATTAAAGAGGAAATATTTTCTTCTGTAATATACTGTGTGAAAAAAGCCGGCGTACAAAGCTTTTAAGTACAAAAAACAACACATTGACACTGTTTTTCTTTAAATCTTCTCTCCGAAGCTGCGGTTGTTGTACGAGTGCAACCCCATTGCTTTCCTCATCGAGCAGGCGGGAGGCCTCGCCACCACCGGCACTCAGAGGATACTGGACGTTCAGCCTGAAGCACTCCACCAGCGGGTGCCCTTTGTGGTCGGCTCCCCTGATGACGTCAACGAGTACCTGTCCTTCGTCAAGAAGTACCAGTAAAGCTGCGACAGTTTACTTTAAGATTAGGATTATTTCTGTTGTTTCTGTGAATGAGAGGCAGACAGGACAGAAGGAATAAATCTTGTTTTCTCACAACGCCAAGAAAGTTATTTTTGGATCTTAATGTGTGTGTTCCTGAGATCAGAAGATAATTATTCAGTCATTTTTCTGTAAATGTATGAGTTGTCATATCTCATGGTCACATATCACTAAGTAATCTTAATATAAAATGAATTCCTCATCCAAATAATTCAATCAAAACCAGATTAGATAACATAGACTTCAGCTTCTCCTCGCACCTCTTTTAGAACTAAATCTCATGTACTTCTACATTAAAAAGACATTAAACTAACATTTTTCAAAACAAATGATTTTTGTTTTGTTCAGTCAAATGTTTTTGAAGTTACAGCAACATGATAAAGATGTATTAATACTGCTAAATGTTTCTAAATGACCTGAATCACAGCATTTATTCTTGGTTTGCACAATAGGTATTTACTATAAGAAGAAAGAGGAAGAATCTGTTTCTTATTCACTAATGATGTATTTTTGAATCTTACTGACTCTGGGAAGAGCTGCACTGAGATTCTCATTTTGAGCTGCTGATAAAGGTTGTTTCTCTTTTACCTGCAGTTTCTCAACTAATGCACAATTAAAAGAAACAGAATTTAATCTACATATTTTTCATATCTTATTCACTCTTTTTAAGAATCAGTGGTAATAGTTATGTATTCAGTATATCCTGATTGTGAATATAACAGGATTTTTGTCACAAATTACAGTTAAAGTGCCTCTACATGAAACTCTGTCTGGCTCTGGAGTCAGATTTGGAATAAAACAAATACTAATTTTCAGGGGGTGTTAATGAGAGTCAATGGGAGACTTTTCAGAGTTCAAGTGTGAATGAACTGCTGTTATTGGATCAAGAGTTTATATTTATATGGTGCCACAAGAGGATTAGGTTTATTGCCATGTAGGATTTCCTCTTGTTGGCCCAATGAGCCGTAGCTCAGATCAGATCAAATCTGTTTATTTTGGTGGAAAGTGACGGAAAATGTCATTCCATCTTTCCTTCTTTCTTCCTTGTTTCCTGTCTTCTTTAGTTTCCTTTACTTGGGTAAATAAATAAATAATTAAGAAATGAATGACATAATAAAAATAATACACATTAAGTAAAAAATAAAAAATAAAGTCCAAGTACCCTCGACAAGTACCCTTTTATTTTTTATTTATTCAGTTTCCTGTACAATTACACTGTCTGTAAATATAATGAAATACCAGGTTAAACATTTGGTGGGAAAATATATTCATATTGATATATAATTAAAATATTATTAATAACTTATTAATGTTTTAAGTTTAAATAAGTTAAATCTAAAACTACTGGAATCGGACTGTAAGATTTACACCATGTGCTGAGTTTTAAAGTTACTAAAACCCCAAAATATTCACAGAGAAAACAAAGAGGCGCAGACGGAGACACTGTGTCCTTAATGGTAATGGACTTTAACCAGGAAACTGTTTCTGTGAACTTGTTTTTCACTGCTGTGAACATTACAAACGTAATTCCATTCACAGTGGAAAAGGTTTCAGAGGTAGATATCTCAAAATGTCAGAACATAAAACTAAGGCTGGACACCACCATGGGTAAGTGAGAGAATATGTTTAGGTTTTTGTTGCGATTAGTGAACTGACCCTTTAATCACTCTCTCTCCCTCTGGCTCCATTTACTTAGGTTGCATAACAACAACAACACATTCCTCCAGCTGCTCTCGCTGTCAGCATATCAGAGTGGAGAGAACTCTGAGGTGAAGTATCACAAATAAAAAGTGCTGCGTTACCAGCATAGAAATATACTAAGAGATAGATATCCTAACATTACATTTATGACCACTTTGCTTATGAATCACCACCATTGTTATAGAATCAATAATCCTATAAGAACCCAGTACCAATCAACAGGGAGCACAGCAGCTTTTACATATGATCATATGACTCAGTCTTTGCTCTGCATGTCAAACTAGCATGTGTGATTACCAACAGAATACAGCTGACACCTCATTTAGTGCCATGAACATCCCAATTAAACATGAACTGTTTGGTTTAGTCACAAGATTAAAAACCAGTGATTATGTGATCAATTCTATTTATCTGTAACAGCTAATACAGTGACACTGATCACCAAATGTATCAATGAAAACAAACACCCCTCTGTTTGTTCTTTTATCAGTGAGTCTGTAGCAGTTAGCAACAAGATCAACAGAGGTGACTGATTACTTAATGTTTGTTACGCAGCTTCCACAGCTATCATAACTTTACTTTAGAAATTTATTTTTCCATGACTTATGTTATTAGATATAATTTGATGGTTGTTTATTTTAGGAGAAACAGAAATACAAAAGCTGCACTATAGTGTTTTATGTACACTGTCACTGTGAAATGTGTGCATCTCCACATTCGGTGATTTTGAAATTTTCCAGATAAACTGAAATGTTGTTTTATATAGTGTATATATATATATATATATATATATATATAAAAAAATAATGACTTCAGCTTAACACCCACTGGACTGTCTGAAAAACACACAGTAATGGAGCTGAACGTAAACCTGTTTGACGTACGTGGCATTCACAGGACAGCTACAATAAAATACTGCAAACATCAAACTAGTGTTTCACAACTTTAATTGATCACAGTAAAAGTAGAAAAAAAATCATTTACAATGACCGAAGCAAGTGTTAACATATCACTTACCAAGTAGCATACATATATTTACAAGGAATAAAACACACTAAAACTAAAATCTTTTCATAAAGTGGCATACAACCAGCCAAAACAAAATGGCGCCATTTCCCTAAAAACAACAGTGTTTTTCTCAGACATCACAGAATCTCCTCTCAACGTGTCGCGCTGAACGAAGCCTCGTTCCTCCTCTTCAGCCGAACTATTGCAATAAAAAAACACTATGGTGCTAACTAGTGGAACTGTGCAAAAGTTAGACGAGAGGATAACTGGCTGCTGTCGCAATTCCACAGTGGTTCTTTCTGTCTTTAGCCATGTAGATGTAGCCTTTGTCGCCCCACTTTTCACTCCAGCTGCAAAGCGAGAACAAACAAAGGGTCAGGAAATGAGTGCAATAGATTTGATTTAGATTCTTTGACAGAGAATCTGCAGTATAAAAATCAAAAGGACGTGAGCTTGTTGAATTACTTCTGTAACAACGTTCCTCTGAACCGTTACCCCCATAATGAATGTCCTATACATCGAGCACCCTGTTGCATGTTAGGCTGAGAAGTTCATTTCAGGAGTTGTAGGTCAATGCAGTAGTAAAATTAAATCAACCAAAATGTTTGTAAAATGTAAAGTGCTCAAATTCCAATATTTCACACTGACCTGTTCTTCACAATCCAGTATTTCTTGCCGTCCACATCCTGTCCCTCGAAGCCATAACCGACCACCAGCACACCATGGTCCAGCTCCTCGCTGCTGCACTCCTTCTCATAGTAGATTCCTAAAAAACAAACCAACAATAAATAAATAAAATCTCACTCAGTTACATACATGGCATCCTAAAAAAACAGATACTAGCAAAAAAGAAGCTTTAATCGCGTTTCTTTTTCAAAAGTTCCGAACTGACCTGACTGGTAGAACTGGAAGGATTCGTGCCCGGCATCAATGGCAACTGAGACGGGTCCCACGGCGGCCACTGCCTTCATCAGAGCGTGCTCCTTGCCGCTGGGGATGTCGACGAATCCAGTGTCGTTGGCAGAGTTATAGTTGGGGTCGTAGTGACATGGCTGGTCATCCTGAAGGAACACACATAGAAGAAGAGGGTGAGCGCCAACACAAACCTCCTAATCCAAAGTATTCTACTTAGCTTTTTCATCCCATTTAAACACTGCCCAAACGGTTTATTGAGGAGCTTCAATGATTGATTAGTGGATTTAACAATTACTTGATCAATGGGATTAATTTGGAACTATTCTGAATATCCATCAATCGTGTCAAGCAAAACATTTGATTACAGAAAAGTGAGTGTTTTTGGACTCTGTTGGACAAAAGACACTTGAAGCTGAACCTTGTGCTCTAGGTTTTCTGGTGTTTTTCCAAAAAAAAAAAAAACAATTGAGAAAATAATAAATCAATAATAATGGGAAAAAAACATTAATTGCAGCCATTGTTTTACAAACCTAAATTCAAGACTATTAAAACTTAAATGTAGGAATTTTAAACACGTTCTAAGATCAGTAAAACAGCCTCTATTAACTATATAAAACCCATTTTCCACGTGTCTACTTGACTTTGTCCCTCCTCCCGTCAGATACGTACTGTTCCCAGGTAAGGATAAGAGTCCTCAGAGTCCAGGCCCTGGTTGTCCTTCACGTACTGGAAGGCCTGGTCCATCAGACCTCCGTTGCAACCCTCATTGCCCTCGGGCCTGGAGCAGTCCACCAGGTTCTGCTCACTCAGCGACACCAGTTTGCCGCTCTTCCTGAAGTGCTGACCCTCCAGAGCTCCGGTGGTGCTGAAGGCCCAGCAAGAGCCACACTGACCCTGAGAGAGACACCGGGGGGTTGAAGGTTGTGTTAAGACTGGATGACAGTGAAAAAAGAAAGAGAGTTAAATTTCATTCATTTATTTTTTTAAGATTTACAGTTTTTCCCCAGGTTCTTCTGATGTCGGCCATTTTGTTTCCATTACTTCTGTCTGTTGTGCTGGTACCATTTTTAAATGCTGCCTCAAAAACATTTTATACATTTATACCTTCTGTACAGACTAATAGTTTTTCTGTTTGTATAAAGTGGCATAAATAAAAGTCACATTGGACGTTGGACACTTTGAACTAATGTATACTGCTCTGCCCTGCCCTGGTTTACAGTCAGTCGCGAGACCGGTTTTAGCTTACAGGGTGTCAATGTACAGCACGCCATGGGGGTGGAGAGACCAGACTGTGCACACAGGGAGGAGTGTGTGTGGACCACGTAGATAACAAAAACAACCTGCAAGCGGCCATCTTATCTTTCTGCTCAAGCAAAACTCTCACTTCAGTGGACAACGTGACCTCGCTGCTTCAAATAAGTGAATTTGTAGCGATGCAACTGTTCAAGTTGTACATTACGTAATAGTGTTTAGAGTTTCTTCGACAGCTGATATTAGCTCATGCTTCTGGCTCTCCTGTCATGCGAACATTAAAAATAAGAGCTTGTGGTAACTTTGTTTACACCAGCAGAGTGCCTGTCACTGGAACAACAACACTGACAGTAACAACACTTCTTCACAATAAAGACTCAAACACTACAACACTGGAGAACAGAGGATTGTTTGTGTGTTTTATGTGCTTTTTGGAATCAATTTTACATGCTAGTTATTTATAAGTGCTCATGCATGTTACCATGAGTCATCAGATCTGTCCTTAAAAAGATGTTTATGAAACATCCTAAAAATGTCTTCAATGTCTTCTCCCTACACTGTGACTGCCAACTCCTGTCTACATTTTATGGTACGCCTCATTACAGGAATTAACCACACCTTGATAATTCGCCAGGTCGGGGAGCCCCGAGGTCACACGAGAGATAATAAACGTTTGTTACCTGGTCCTTAACGGGAGTGACGTAGCCGTTATCCCTCCAGTCCACAGAACGGGGGGCCTCCAGGAAGTTGGGCTCCATGAACAGAGACCCACTGAACTTCCTCGCTGCTTTGAGCTTGTAGCCGTTCATGAGCTGCCTGAACTCCTCGTGAGTCTGTGGAGAGACAAAGCAGAGTGAGTAAATCACACCGCCGATGTGAATTAGACCATTTCACAGATAATCTAATGAGACTTGGAGACAAAAGAAAGGCAGAGAGCAGCTGTCGTTTATGACTGAGGTTATTTATTATTGTTGTTATTTATTTGTTTGTGTTTTCTTACGTCCATGCCCCAAACCAGAATCTATTCAAGTTCTCGATTCATCTATCCTTTGTTTGAAGGTTTGTGACTCTTTTTCCAAACCTTAGTGCACTCTTGTCTACTCTGCCAGCTATCAAATCTATTTTCCTTTGCTTTCTTTGGTTTCCAGGCCTTTTATAAAGAACCCTGATATGTGTTTCCAAGTGAGATATGGATCATTGCGGACTCACCATGTCTCCAAAGTGGTTCATGCCCAGACGGTAGGTGTGTTTGCCCATGGAGTGCTCCAGGTTGTGCAGCTCAATCTTCTTCAGGTTCTTCTCCCACACCATTCTCCTCCAGCCCTCCTCCTTCTACAAAAAACACAAACAAAACCACCAGTCAGACTTAAACATTTTTTTTTTTTTTTTTTTTAATGCAGTATGAACAGCTTACTGGAAGAAAAACAACAACACATCACCTCATGATACTTCTTTGTATGCCAGCTCTTCCACAGGTCCCAGTGGTCGTCCAGCTGTGGGTCCAGGCTGGGGGCTGAGAGGGCTGCACTCAGGCACACGGCTAACACTGCTAGAGGCAGCATTGTTGCTTCCTACTGGAAAACAACAAAAACACACAAGTTAGGACTCGGTTTCCGACGAAGTGGGTTAATCACTGACAGAGCGGCCTCTAGTCCTGACTGGGCAAACAGACTCCGTTACAAAAGACAGTCATTTATTTGGGGAAAACGCTTAGTCATGCAAGTTTACCATCGAAATTCCTTCTCGCATGTTTCGCCATCGAGATATTTGTCATGCAACCAAATCCAATAATGCAGCTCGTCGACTCCCGTGATTCATACAAAAAAAATGGGATCCGCATTAAAGCAGTAAATCCCATTCCCGACAGTACAGCCAGTTCCCGATCACACGGCACAAATAGGCGAAATAACAGCACAGGATCCTGCACACTATAATACATTGATGTCTGATTTGAAAACGGGAGGCCTCGATTGTTTTTGTTTGTGGCTGTTTGCCTGTAAGTTGCTGAGCAGAAAGTCGACAATAACCCGAGCCTGTTTGTGTTTTGTTCGTAGTCACGGGATCTGCTGTGGAGGCGGCGGAGAGCCAAGAAACCGACCTGGACATTGAAACTACAACTAGGAAACCGAAAACAAAACCTTAATGTTAACCGCTACCAGATAGCGGCATTTTTAAATGGACCCACTGCTGGTGGATGTTGTTGCTTAATTTAAGCCGAAGGAAAGAGAGAAAATAGCAATGGCTGCTTTCTGCTAAAGGAGGGGAGACGACGACAAAGGCAGCCGAATGAAACAAGATGGCTAAAGATTGCAAATAACAATTTAAAAAAAAGGGAATTTTTGACTCTCCAAATAAATTTAAAATAAACATTGACTGAGGTATACATTTTTTTAAACGGACGCTGGGACGTTGTTTATTAAAAACAAAACCCGAAGAAAACGCACAGATATATCAATAGTGTTGCTTTGTACACTGAATTTATGCGTCAAGTTTAGATATTTTTCTTTCATAAAGCAGATAAGATGAAACATTTCAGGACTTACTGTATTGTTGGAGACGAAGGAGGAGAAAATAACTCCTGGGTCGAGGTAGACAAAGTTTATAAAGGCCCGTATGGCAGCAGAATAACGCCCCACCGCGCTCTCTGATTGGTCCATTCCTTGTTTATTGCACAGAGGCCCCGCCCCCGATGTGTCACCATGGCAGCACGTGATTCCCTCCCTCTGGAATGGTGTCGGGAAGAGGACATTGTGTTTCTTGAAGGATTGTTGCAGCTAAAACAGGGGAAACAGACATTTTATTAACTCGGGGTTGATTGTTTTAACTTGTTTCATGTTAAGGACCCCGTAAAGATGTCCATAGTAACTTACAATGCTGTTCAGCTGATTAAAAGAGAAGATAGACATTTTTTTAGGGTTAGGGTTCTCAAGCCAGAGACCTCTGTATTAAATTACTGTAATTAACATTTCTTGTTGGACAATCAAAGAGATCTAAAAGTGAAGAATCTTTTGCTCTAGATCGATTGAGTATCTACCAATACAGAGTTCAACCTGATATTTATTGTATTTTTATCTTACATATGTGCATACACGCACTACAGAGCACCTACAATAAAATAAGTGATAGGAAACTTCTCTGAGTTCATGTGGAGTTCTCAACCAACACCAGCACTTTAAAGTTGACAATGCTCAAAATCCATGCATTGCACAGCAACCCATTATCTGTTTGATTCTGCCTCTTAGCTGTGGTATTGAAGCCTATCAGGGAAATTAAAGTAATCCTCTTCAGGTTTACTATAATACTATACTAAGAACGCAAGGGAACACCGACATGAGGGCATATTTGTTTTTGTTTTGTCTGTAGACGAGGAGATAACAGAGAGAGTGAAACCTTCGGCCCAACATTTTCTAAACTGTCCTATCTTGAAATGGAGCATGCCATCAAAAATATGACATCTGCTCCTACAGTGTGAAAAGAGAAGATTGTTTTGCTTTTGGTTGACTAGTGATCTCTATAAAGGATATTAGATGTATGATACTATCAGTCAATGCTTTCATCATCAAGGTTGTGGGAGGTTACGAATGTGCAGCAGGTCTTCCAGGAACTGCTGGCACAAAGTCTGAGTTAATCAGGGTCGATGCTCATGTGATTGATAAGACTGTGAACAGACACAGTTGTTTATGCATTTAGAACAAAACCTTTTCTTTTTGAACTTCCTAACGCTGCTTATTTGTGATGATGATAGTCTGACACCAGCGGTGGACAGTAAACCGAGTACATTTACTCATCTACTCTGCTCAAGTACGGGTTTATGGGTAGGCTACTTGAATATTTATTTTTAAAGTTACTTTATACTCCCATTGCCCCGCATTTCTGGGGGGCATTATTTTTGAATATTTATCTATAGTTTCAGCTACTTGTCAGGTTCAGATTTTATACACAAAACCAACGATTAATAAATAATATATGACAGCAGGAGCTATTTTGCATTATACATTAGAGTACATTTACTGTGATACTTTACAGTGTTCTGTATTTTTACTTACGTAAATCATTTGAGTACTTCCACTACTGTCTGAACCACAAGGGATGAAAATACTACCAGTATTTTTATTCTTGTGGTTCACACAGGCTGAAGTGTAGACCCAGCTCATTTCTTTTTTTACATTTTGTCTCAAAGTTTCAAATTTATAACAATGGTATGACATTTTGGGCACGACTGGGTTTCTAGTCAATAATTAAATGAGAAAATTGATACCACTGTCAGACCAAACATAGTATCAATCTTTTCATCTTACTCTTGTCAAGAAAACAAATAAGTGTACATAATGCCAAACAGCTGCTTTGAATACACTAAATAATAACTATTTAAATACACCCCCACAAATCCAGGCTGCTAAAACCAAGATACTAAATATAAATCATACACATACACAATGCTAACATTAAATGCTTAACAGTGATGTAATGTGACATGATTCATCCACATCTGTCCGATGCATCATGTCTTTATGTTGTCACATGAAGGATGCATGATGTTCCAAATGTTTTTTGGTGCAACTCTGCGTAATGTTAACATGGCATCTTAATTTACATTGTGGTAAAAAACACATCCTTTCCTTGCATTTGCAGAAATCAGAAAGCAGACTGCGTCCTCAGCAGCTCATGTGTAATGGGATCATGTTGCTCAAGCAGAGCGACATATGACTGAAAACTTCCTGTATGAGCAAGTCTGGTCAGTCACCTCATGCGTCTTTTAAAGTCACCTAAAAAGAAGATAACTGCAGTTGGATTTGTCTGATGAATGAATATTGTCAGAAGGAGTGGAAGTATTCACAAAAAGTAGCAAAATATAAAAATGCCAAAGCTTTATCAGCAAAATGAAAATTAGGTTTGACATGAATCGGATGGTATGCAAATGACAGAACATGCTTATTGTTTCTGTTTTAAAATATTCACTTTCTTGGCACGAGTTTGATGAGAAGATCAACACCACCCTTATGAGCTACTGCCAGCAGCGGTTAGCTTAGCTTAACACAAAGACTGGAAACAGGGGGAAACAGGTAGCCTAGCCCTGAAAGCAACAACATCCAACTTATAGCACATCTAAAACTCAATGTTTTATATTTACTTAGTTTAATTTGTACAAAAAACAAGTTTTACGTGTAGTTTACATGACAGGTTAGCTGTTTCCCACTGTTTCCAGTCATTAAGCTAAGCTAAGCATTGCTAAGCTAACTGGCTACGAGCACTTCTAAAGCTCACCAATTAACACATTATATCTCATCAGCGCTGTTGACACATGACCCCCATACAACACGTTTATAGGTGCTGTTATGGACGTATTTTGTTTACTTTGGACTGTGCCAGGCTGTTTCCCCTTGTTTACAGTCTTTGTGCTAAGCTAAGCTAACCTGCCGCTGGGTAGCTTTACATTTGCCGTACAGATACAGCAGTGGTGTTAATGTCAAACTATTCCTTTAAATGTCTTTATTTATAGCCTGTGTGAAATTAAGATACAGTCCATCGTAAGGCCTCTGGTAACACGTTTGTGCATTTAAAGGATTTCCTGCTGTCTGTAATTTGATGAATATTCGGTGTATCTTCATTGGAGTACTGTGTGAACATTACATTCCTCAGATTAGCACGCTGCTCAGTCAACACAACAAAAAGGTTATCAGCGGCTGGTCTTCCCATCCAGACACAAAGGTTAACAGACCCAAACTGATGAACACGTCCCCAAACTGGGGTCACTATCACCACGTTGTTTTTTAAATAACAGCCTCAATTGTTTGTTAACATTATTGATCCAGGAGGTATTGGATTATATGATACAACAACACTAAAGGTAGCCCCGCTAGCAGTCCTGTCAGGCTGTAATACTCATTACAAAACAGAAAGATTCTACAGCACTAGAGGGGTAAAAATGTAACGTAATGCAGTTTAACACTGTGTTCTTAAAAGATGACGAAGATCATGTGGTTAGATTAAAAGTGCAGGAATAGCTAGGCCCTATTAAGGACATTGTGGTGAGATTAAGTTCTCAACTGTTGTTTTCAAGATCAACAATAATGTTTGTCATATTTCAAAAGCCGATGAAGATCATGTGATGTGATTGAAAGCTCCAGAACAGCTCCCTTGCTGTATTTTCTCGACAATCCTATATTCAGTTTATCAGGCTTTGTTATCAGCTGGACTAGTAACAGGTAGTAAAACCATGATTAGAGCTTAGACTTTAAACATATGAAAATATGTCAGTGTAAATATTAACAGTAAGGAAATGTATGTAAGGTAATTACTGGTAAAAGTCTCTTCTTGTGTTGTCAACAAAGTTCCTCACAGGTGCACAGAGAAGAATGAACCTCAACCTGTTCGTCTATACACTGACAATTATTTGCGTCCCCTCGTGTTGTGACAGAAGTTTGATGAATGTATTCATGGTATGTACTGTACATGTACTTGGATGTTTTTGTTGTAGACCTGGAAGAAGCAATGAATAAGAGAACATGTTAGAGCTTTTAGTTACATGCTGTTGTTAATGATCGATTATTTATTGATCCTTTATGCTGGTGTTTGTGTAATGTAGTCTGCTCTATTGACTATGCTGTATATCTTCATTTTTTACTGTATCTGTGGACTGCTATTTATGTTTGTAGGCAGAACTGATTCCAACAGATGTTTGAGCTTGTGCTCACACTGAAACTGTTATTTTAAGGCACAGCTTGAAAATGAATGCATTGTCTTGATGATTAAAAGTTCAAGCTGTGTTTTCTGAGACAAACTTCCAAGGATTTAGCAACAAACTTGTTTTCAGAAGTTAGTTGAGGCTACTGTCTTTAGATTTTGATATATTCATTTAGGTATTTATGAACTTATTTCAGTTGAAAATGCATCCAAACAACAAATGTTAAATGTGGAATCAACTACAGGTCACTTTGATGGTGAAGACACCAGACATACAGTGTATTTGATTCGAATTAACCCAATTCACCAAGTTCATGTTTAGCAAAATAAGAACCACGTGATTTAAACATCATGAGTTGCGCTCCATTAATCTCTCTCTGTACAAATATCTTTGAATGACAGTCAACACGTGAGCAGTTGGGAACAAGTTAAGACAAATGCAGAGTGCTTCAGGCAGCAGTAGGTCATGTGAGTGTGTGGGTGGTTGGTCCCTGCAGCTCTGCAGCTCCACAATGAGCCCAGAGACGTGTGAATAACAACCTGGAATCTGGTAGAGGACAAACACCCAAAAGACATTATTCTGTCCCTGATTTATCAGAGATTGAATTGGTGAGGCCGTCCTTTAAACTAACACTGGTGTATAACGTTTTAATCTTATCTTGGTTAAGTTAATAAGTCAGAAGGATTAGTAGCTTTCTGCTATACATCACACAGTCTGAAGATTTAGTGCCATGCAGGTATCACACCAAAAAAAGATCTGCATCTTTTGGTGCTTTTAAAAATCCTGCTTTGTGTCTTTTCTCTCTCTTTGACTTGATTTCAGGTAAGATTCTCAGGATTACTCAGACCCTGCTTCATGTTTACTTGATAATTGAACCCAAACATATGAACGCAGTTTACTGGATCTGAAAAAGTACAAAACAACAAAAAGAAAAATCACAGAGAAATATTATTTCTTAAATAATTAACAAATCTATGTTGGTAGATAAGATACATTCACCCGTTTCCGACAATCCTGATTCAAGATAATGACACTGATTTGTATAAAATAAACTAAAAAATACAAACTGCATTGGAGCGTTGATCTCACCTCAATGTCACAATTTGCTTGTTTACAGAAAAAAATAAAATACACACAGTTGACTTGTTACTACAGCACCTCAGCACAACAATCAACACCAAACACTGGAAGTTTGTGTCATGTAATAATGTTTTTTATTCAATTATACACTGTAGTTTTTTTAAGCATTAACAAATAGCTGTAACACCACAGTCAACAATGATATCCATTCACTGCAGTGATGTTTTAAGTGCTCATGTTTCAAAAAAATGAAGACCACATTTCCCAAAATCTCATTAGTACAGCAAAAAGCAAGAGTTTGTCATGTCCCTCACCCTCCTATCATGTTTGTCTGCCTTTGATAAGGAGAATTAAGTGTGGGAATTGATTTTTCTCCTGACCTTTGTTACCGACGCCTGCTCTGTAAAAAGCTAGTTGTTCATAATAGAAGAACATCACCCTCTTCCTGTTGTTGGGCCGTAAAGCAAGAATTCCCAACATTAACCAGTTGCTTGTATCCATGTATCGTGACCAGTGACCAATAGCTTTTATATGTATTAGCAGTAATTTGTAAGAAAAAAGCTAATATTGGAAGAAAGCCTGAAAAGATTTACAATTTTATGTAGCAGAAATGTTTTGTTTTTGTCCTTTTCGTCATCTGGAGAACCCTTTACTGCCGTAAAGCCAACAGAGTTTTGTGTGTAACCTTAACTTAGTGCAAGTCTTTCAATCCTCTTTATATGGCTGTTATTGTTTACTAATGTCTAAAATCAATAAAGTAACGATTATGTGCTATCTCAGGAATCTTTTTAAAACATCTAATAGTGTGTCTTCAATGAGGACAGATACAATGGTATTAGGTAAAGAATTTATTATAAAATGTGTTACACTATAAAGTGTCAGAAGTACTAAGAACATGGCATTCCAAGACATGCTAAAATAATGTAACATAAATAGCAACAAAAAAGACTGTGCAATGTGGCGATTAGACCAGAGTCTAAGAGGGGAAAAATTCACTCAACAGTAATATTGAGTACATCTTTCCTCACCGAACAAAAACAAACAGAAAATATTTTTGAGAACACCTTTAAATCCACTTGTTTCGGTCAGACTCGCAGTCGGAACGTCCGGAAAAAAAGACACCAAACAGTGACAAATTTGATAATAATATAAGTGATTCCCAACTTTTACAGAAATCTGCCTCTTTTTCTGAAACAAGAGAAACATAATATTCACTTCCCTTTCTGAAACATCACTTGTGAACCTGTGTACTGTACAAGGCGATAATATAGGAATGAACGAGTGTGTTTTGGGCACACGACATTGGCAATGATTATACACAACTTCAACAAAAGCTTCAATAAAACAAGGAAAATAAAATGATGTATCTGACCAGTTTGGGACATTTCATTTCATCATGTTTTATCACCATATCTTTGTTTTTTTGTTTTTTTACCTATAACCATATTCTTAGGAAATATGTGTAGTACATTCATTCTGCCTTGTTGGAATCAACATATTTGGGCAAAAAAAGCTTAAATTGAGCAGAACAGAAAAGTGAGCATGAAGTTGAGGAAATGGGCCTCGAGTATTTACACCACAGCTAGAAGTCTGCTGTGTCGATTGGCAAGTTCAGGCTGAGACGAAAAAAGTGAGAGAAGTATAGAATGTGAAATAGTCTTCAAAGTTGTATCTCTGTGAACAGATGGTAACACTGGGGAAGTAAAGCAGACAGGAAATACTGCACTCTGGCACAGAGCTCATCGTTTTCTATCAAACTGCATCCTGAAAAGGGCCCTTTACATCCACAAAGTCCAACCTTTTAGGAATGAAAGACTCTTTCCCAACATCAACACATGCACTGATAAAAAGAGCATTCATTCAGGTTCACACACATTATAAAGTACCAGCTTACACAAAGTGAAAATGCTTTTCTAGGAACATTTCTGTCATCAGCAGCCTTTGGCCTTTTATTCAGCTAACAATACTAACTTCACGCCATCTTTTTCCCTGCTTTTGCTGACCGAGCCGGGCTGCAGCTTCGTGATATAAAAAGACAAACTGAAAGAAGATGTGAAGCCACTCATGGCCGACCAACACTGACAGAAGCTCAAATTTAGCTCGACAGAAGCGGCGTCGATGCCACGGTGTAAAAATCTGACACTGTGGACGGTAACTTGATTTTTTGACGTCTTATTTTTTCACTGATCCCCCTGTTGAGGAAACATTAAAAAAGGTGCAGCGTCAGATGGCTCTGGATAAAACTAACCTTTTAGTTTAGTAGAAAATGTTAAAAATGTTCTTTATGTTGTTTTTTTTAATCATTTTTGGTGGCACTTTCTATTCAAAGTAATTAGCATGAGTGCACAGTTTGGGGGTCTCCGTTGGACCCTGAAGCTCAGCAGTATGAGCTCCATCCTGTCTCCCATGATGATTTTATCTCTGTGACCCTCTACAGCAAATACGTTCTGCTGAAAGAATCCACATCCTTCAATAAGACACTGTACTTTGTGGAAAAAACTTTGTTCAAATGGCTAAAGGTCCTTTTGTGTGAATCAAAATTGAGTAAATTTACTATAAATATTATCACTTAAAAGTCTGACTTTATTTTAGAGGTCCCATAGTTGGCTAAAATTTCCAAGAAAGAATCTGATATGTAACTGTAAAGTCTTTGAGAAGTTCCTGGAAAGGGAAGTCTTGTGATTTAGTAATAATTATAAAACTGAGACTTTTAGTTTAACTGGTGGTATCAAATGGTAAATTACATTGATTTCTTGTATACTAACTGCTAAACATACTATATAACGACTATAAAATGTAACATATATGTAACATGTACTTGGGCTTCAAATTGGTATACTTACAATTAAAGCTGCATTATTAGATTGTTTTGGGGGCAGCAGAACAAGCTGAAAACAATATTATCACATTATAAAGGTTGATATAATGAACTTGTTCACAAACAGCAGACACAAAGCAACATTAGCATTTATCGGGAGACGTGTTTCTTAATGTAAGTCTGTTTTGCTCCACCATTTTCACCAACAAACATGATCATTCTCGGTCCAGCTGTTTGGTGCCCGGCTGCTAGTATACCATGTGTTTATCCACTAACAACAGCTGCCCCCTGATGGTGGCAGAGGGGTCGATTAGAAAAGAGTTCAATCAATGATCCAAAATGTCTGCAGAGCCGGGTAATAATTCTCAGTGGGTTCTGCTGCAGCTGCTAATGCTGTGACATTGTCTCTACTGTCACTAGAAAATTACCGGACCCGTAAAATAAAGTGTCACTGTAAATGAATCAAAGATCATGAGATTTCTGTTGTTGGATTAATGAAGAAATAATGTGTATAAGCCCACAAATACACCAATTAAACATGAATGACGTTTCCGTTTGACTCCCACAGAGCAACACATCGACTCCACTCTGACTCGAATACGAAAGAAGATTGAACATGTTTTATCTCTAGCACTGACTCTCAGACACTTAACAGAACACAGCAGAAATCTGATCACTGATTTCAGCTTTGTGTTAGTAAAATGTAACTTTCAAAACTTTGTAACATGAGCCAAGCTTTCATTTTTTTTTTCCGTGTTCTTTCTTCATTAACTTTTTCTTTGTCTAAAATGTAACTTGCTCAATAGATTGAAATTTATTTTACTATTAGTATCAACAAGGCACAGTTCTTCAAATGTTTGGAAAGAACTACTGTTTTTATAATAAGACTATTTGTGCTCTTTAGGGAGGTAGAAGGCCACAAAGGCACTCTGAAAAATGCTGTTAATTTATTAAACACTAAGCTGAATGGCCAAACGTCACATCAGTAAAACAGAAGCAAGGAGGGAAGATAATGTCATATGAAACTGTGATGGATGGAGTGAGTGAAGATGGCAGCCTCTAACATGTATACTGATACAATTAAGTCCTCAGTTTTTCACTTGAGGATGGATATGTAAAAGGTCCAAACATGAGGCCGCCATCTTTTTAACCACGTCCAATCTTTTCATGTTGTCAAGTTGTTTAAAAATGTATCTTTTCTGTCTTTTAGCTGTAAGATGAGTGAGACTTGCAGTAGAGTAGAAGCAGCACAACAAGATTAAGAACAGAATAAAGGATTCCTCTTTGGAGCTCAGGACAATCACCTCTTTCACAACATTCATAGTGGAAGGAAAGGTCAGCTGTACAGGTGTGGAGAGCACAAACACAACATCTGGTTCATTCGCCAACTTAATGGAGAGATCAAGGAACGAGCAGCTGGACTCTCTGGTAACGATTGCACTTCATGTTCATTCACACACAAGTCTGTGACTGTCCTGTTTCGGGGGAAATGTCACATCAGACTATCTGACGTTTGGTGAGGACAGAAAGCCGGCCCTGTTCAGTTCAGCGGGATATTACGGAGCTGATGGAGTTGTACGATGTGCCGCCGTTACAGGTGGGGGGGTAGCCGTTGGCTGCCCCTGCTAATGCCTCCATGTTGACCCTGAAAACAGGAGAAGCTTTGAGCAGGAAGTCGGCGGCATCTCGCCGGCCGAGCTCCCTCAGTTTGGCCATCAGCACACCCACTGTGCTGTCTGCTCGCCCGCTCCACTCCTGCAGGAGCGCCGCTGTCGGGCTGGGCTGCAGCGTGTTCTGCTGGGAGTCCGGATCCGAGTCCAACTCAGGGGTGCCATTTGGAGTCCCGTTGCTGTGTCTGGCCACCAACTCTGTGAGTCCGAGGTTCATGGCCAGCAGGCACCAGTCTTTCCCCAGAGCGTCAGGAGGGTCCAGCATGCGGCAGAGCTTCCTGCGTGCCAACAGGGGGACGTCTGATATGTGGATGTCCGTTCCCAGAGTCCCGTGCTGGTACACTTCAGCGCAGCCAAAAGACAGAATACTGCTGAAGCTCTCTCGGTAGCCGCCCATGGTATTAGTGAGCGAGGTTTCCCGCTGGACTTGGGCCCTGAAGAAATCTTTGGGTTGGTAGATCATGATGGGGGCGTGGTGTTCCCGGAGCTGCTGAGGACTCAGGTAATATTTGGCTGTGAGCAGTCCGGGAAGTGTGGAGGCCAGCAGGTTCTCCGTTATACTACAGACGGTGTCCAACAGGGTGTAACACTTGGCCCGCTCTGATTCGTGCCCGCGCACCTGAATTTCCACCCCCTGGCCGTGGTTGACCAGCAGGATCATGGCCTCCACGCCTGCCTGGCTCACCTTGGCTCCGTTGGTCCACAGGTGGATATCTCCATCGAAATCCTCCCCACCCTCCTCCTCGGGCTTCTGCTGGTGACTCCAGCGACACAGATTCACCTGCAGTTTGTGAAAGAGGCCGCAGGGGAAGGGGGTAAGGTGCTCTGCAGGGACAAGTCGTACCCCACCGTAGATCAGAGACTCCTCCTCCTCCTCTTCGGTCCAGGAGCGGTGGAGGCCGTTTGTCTTGATGAGAGCGGGGACATCCACCATGGAGGGGTTGGTGGCGTCACGGGCGCAGACGTCCATGGCATCCAGGATCTGCAGCAACTCGTCCACGTCACTTTCCGGAGCCAGAGCCTGCACCTCCTCCAGCCTGTAGCGCCCCCTGTAATGGTGGATGGCCTTGGGTGTCTCCACAGAGAGCAGCTTCCCGAGGACATTGCTGCAGAGCCAACGAGGCTCCAGCAGAACAACATCCTGCACCGTCTCGCTCTGCATGATGTTGATCTGTGGGAGGAGGAAGGAAATGAATGAGGAGGAAAGATGGTGAGAGAGGAAGAGGACAGGAAACAAGGAGTGAGTTGACAGCAAAATATAAGTCAGAAAAGGTTTGGAGAAACAGAGGGAAATAGGTATGGATTAAACATATTCAGGAAAATGTGAAGAAAATTAAATGTCGTGAAACATATCGACAAAGATGCATAAGAAAATAAGATCCCCAAAAAAGGATGCAAAGTTGCTGCAATCATAGTAAGATATGACACCTAGTGTGCTTAATTTAAAACAGCAAATTCATAAAAAAGCACTTTTCAAAACTCAGTATGGTTCCTCATCTGAGTTCCTGAGCTGAATCATTATAGTAAATAAACAGAGAATCAACATGTTCCTGCTGCAGAGTCATTCTGAGTAATTGCTTACTGATGACAACAAAGTTTTGGTTTTATTCATTCATGAACAAAAAGCGCACCCTGGTGGTACTCTGGTGAACTGACAATCAGCTGCTGAAGACGAACTTTGATGAGTAAATCAGGCGAGAGAACAAAACCTTTAAATTAATCTCACAGCAACCATAAAAACAAAAAAAGGAATCAGAAAACTGATATAGGTTTCTTTCTTCGTCTTGCTATTATAATAGATATATATTTTTTGTTATTGTTATATGTGGGATTATATACGCAGGTTGTGTGATTTCTAAAGCTTTTCAAAAAACAACATAATTATAATTCTATTATCCTGTAGCTACACACAGTCTGCTTTGAAGCAGATGAACAAACACCCACCTCCCCCATGCTGTGGAGCTGCAGGGCTAGTGTGCGGAGATGGTCCTGGCTGACCAGAGGGTTGATGTGCTCCTGGACGTCGCTGACAAACTGCTGCCACGATGTCAGTTGGTTGGGTCCACTCAGCTTCCTCCAGGCCGGCAGAGTGGTCAGCAAACGCTCAGACAGCAGCGTCATGGGACTGCAACTCTGCAACGATGGAGAAGTAAGAGCAGTACATAAGTGGATTTACTGTATGTTATCATTTCTTAAGATTGACTGACAAAAACAGATTCTGATGCTTTAATTCAGTATCCTAGTTGTTAATTCACATGACAAATTCAGTGTTGTCCCCATAAAGATACTCGACTGAAACATATACCTTTATATGTTTTTTGATAAATTTATATATTAATTGTATTGTGTGCACATGGTTTAAAATAAAAACACAAATCAGGGTGGGAAAGACATTTTGTGTGTGTGTGTGTGTGTGTGTGTGTGTGTGTGTGTGTGTGTGTGTGTGTGTGTGTGTTTGTAGAGCTCACAGAGATGATGTTGGCGCGAAGTTCTTGCAGGTGACTCCTCAGCAGCTTCAAGTCTCTGGAGTTTGAGGCTCCAGCGTCCATCAAAAACAACTTGTCACTGATCTGCAGGTCCACCCCAAACCTGAAAACAAAAAACACAACACCACTATTTTAATAATTTAAATCTATTTGTAGGTGTACTGAAATATATGAAGAAGTGTTACACCTAAACGTTCTGATGCCAACATTTTGAACTGTAACAGAGGTGTAATTACCACTAGTAACATTTAGGTCATGTTATCTCAGCAGCTATGGTGTCTTATTTGGTTGTCCATAGCAATGGTCGCTGAGGCTCATGGGTACTGTAGTATTTAGCGAAAACACTTTGCTTGTCAGTTTAATACAGAATAATTTGCCTCTGCATTGCAAGAGGTGCCATCTGGTCAATAAAATCATCCAACTAAAACAAACAACAACAAATATATAAAGGCAATCCTCCTCTGTGCCGTGTGTTCGAGTCCCAACCTGTTTCTGACTTCCTTGAGCAGCACTTTCTCCTTGTCGTAGGTGAACTCTCCAGAGAAAGCTCTGGGGACGGCCGCAAGGTCAGCGTGTGTCGCCACCAGGACGACCATCAGAGGCTGCTGGATCCGACCCCCGAAAGCTGGAGAAACACACACAACATGATAGAAGTTAGGCAAGGATCTACTATTAAGATTATGCTCAGTCCAATGAAAAGCACTAATAACGCAGTCATGGACATCATTCAAACCCTCCCCGTCCTCACCGATGTTGTCCTGTGGCAGTGTGAGGCCTTTCAGCAAGTTCAGCCAGTAGGTGATGTGGCCAAGTTGGGTCTCATACGGCTCCTCCAGGCTGAACAGGACCAGGTGGATCGCTGTGGCGTCGTTGGCTGCAAAGTAGTCGTAGGAGCAGTAATAGACCGGGTTCCCAGAAAACTCCCACACGCTGAAATCCCCCACACCTACGGAGAGTGAAATAAGTGACATGAACAGCATGTTAATATTGTTGTTGAGGTCATTATTTATCACTGCCTTTAGCACATCTCTGTACTAAGCAATATCTTATTCATCGCAGTAAATAAAGGTTATTTTATTTTGAAAGTGTACATTTAACCTTGACATTTAATGTTCCAGTTTTGGTTAAATCTAAGTGAGTTGGGCTCTCACCGTGGATGTTGGCGTGCTGGATGTCGATGGCCTTTGTGGCCTGTTCATCAGCCGTGGACAGAGCGTTGTGGACGGGGGAGAAGACCTCCAAGACACCTTTGGTCAGGCTGGGCTCAAACATCATGCTGCGACTCCGCACACTCACATTCTCACAGCCCGGGTACAAGTTAGAAATGCTCACTGACACTAAACACAGAGGAAAAGAGACACAGAGAAGGGAAACAGTAGGGTTAGATTTTGGAGAACTTGAGTATATATTTTAAATGAGGAGCAGGGAATTTGATGCATTATGCATTTCAAACTACAATTTTTTATTTTTTATTCAAAAACAGCTTTCTTCAGTAGGAGAAACATCACATAGATGACTAAAGTAGTGCAATATAACACTACAACATGAGGAAAAAGAATTTAGATAAAGTTGTAGTAGTAGATATTTTATAAATGTTCAACTGGTCCAATATAATCAAAGTATATTATATAATGTATGTATAATGTCAATCTGTATGTTAATAAACATTTGAATGTTGAAATATTCCAGGTTATTTTATTGTGGAACAAACCGAGGCCTTTAGAACTATGTCTGTCTAGATTATCCACTGATGATCCTCAGTTATTTTTCACCCAATAAATGCACACTTGCTACCACATGGGGGTGCTGTTTTATTACAAATAAATCCACTATGCAGACAACATTTGGATTTCTTTGACACTCTGCAGGACCACACCTACAGTTGGTTTTGAACCACAGTGACAAAAGGTCTTTTTTTGCTGCAGTTTTGTATTTGTTTGGGTCCATACTGCCTCATTTTGACAAAGGCTGTAAACAAAAGTCACATGGATCCACAGCTAAGTCTACTGGTTACTGTTTAGTAACCTGTCACTAAAGCTTTCCAAGCTTGAGAAACGTCTGGTTGAAATCCATCTGCAAAATGTTCTATTTCTTGCAGCCAGTTGATTTTCTCGGCCTTAACCAATCAGGGAGCTTCTTACCAGGTCAAACAAACAGAATTAAAAGAAAACACATGTTGAATTGTTCCAGGCATGCTTGGTGTAATTGCACCCCCATGACAAAACATAATAATCATAATAATAATAATAATAATAATAATACAAATATTCAGCTGTAACACTGGCAACAATACTGCACTGCAGAACGGAACTGGTTACATCATAAAAACAAAGCATCAAATGACAAAATGTCAAGTGAAGTAAAGGCCACTTCTGAGACATCTTTATGCATCAACAACAAAAAGTGTGAGAAAAATGTTACAGTACATGAAATATGGACTTGATGCCATATTGGTTGTCTGGTTTTAGGTCAGACAGTGTTTTTAATAATAACATCTGCGGCAGGTTTGGACTTCAGGGATGCAAAGCTGTTCATATGTCTGTGTCAACACCTTTTCTCTTTATGACAGTCCTAAGTGTCTTACAAGAGAGCATGATTCATAACGGACAAAGAATAAAAACCTCAAGCTGTATTAACAATCTTTCTTCAGTGTTGTTCTGTGTGAGTGAATGAATAAAAGAAGATCAGTCTCTCTCAAACAACTGAAGCATGAACAGCCTGAAAGCCATTTCAGGTGTCAAGTTGAGTTTTGTGGCCAACGGCATCATAAAGTTACAAATATTGACACTAGACAAAGGTAAATATGCATTTAACGTGCCACACTTTGACTTTCGACAGGCTTACAAAAGTACATAATTGATGCCTTTATTACGTTTGCTTTTATAGAAATCTAAAAACTAGACAAATGGACATCATGATGGCACTTGTTCCCTCTCAGTCCTGCTTCTTTGTGTTTCACTGTGGACTCATGTCACGTATTGCTGCAGATATAACACAGAGTCGATAAAGACCGTTACTGAATTCAGCTAGAATTGAAAGAAACAAGAAAAAGCTCTTTCAAACTCCTTTCAGCTCTGACACAGGCAACAGATTTCCAGATAGTATAGAGGATGGGATCGGTAACACTATACGGCTCACGTAACTGACCATTATCTGAGTGAGCATCACGTCTGTCTGGGAGGTAATGGCTCAGAGCGCAACAAAATAGAGCGCTTAACGAAAACACAATGGTATGTATGTGTGTGTGAGAGAGGGCAGATAGAGTGCAAATGCAGAAAGATTGAACACAAAGTGTGTGTGAGTGTGTGCTCAGTCGTGTTTTTTTACACTACACTGAACATGTCAGGGAGTCTTACCACAGACCTGTCGCTGTGTGCAGGACTGACCTCTGCAAACAAGCTTTTCTGCAGACCAGCAGCAGTAAAAAGGAGAGACCTTTTTTACATTAAGATTCCAGTTAAGGTTCCTGCAGTAATGGGGTTAATATTAAGGGTTACTGGAATTGTGGTTAAGGGTTACTGGGTTAGATGTTAAGTGAACAAGGTGAGAAGCAGGGTGATGTTTGTGTTGGTGCTTTTCATTGATTGTGTGGTGTTATTTTTGACTAGTTTTGTTTGTAGGGAAATGAGACATCCTGGTGAACATGGGTGCTCTCTGTTTTGTTTTCAGAAACATGGATTAGATATGTGAAAAGAGGAAGTGAAACTGCCACACCATCTTTTTTGACACTCTCACTATGGGTCACTAATGTCAGACATTCTATATAAAAAATCCTATGTGTCTACACACAAAGCTTAGACAAACACAGGGACACTAAACTGGACGACGAATAGCAGATAGTTCCTGGAAATACGTGTACAGCTAACAGGAACAATTATTGGAAAACTTTCTGAAATGCAACCACTAATGTAGACAGTTTAAAAAAGAATTGCAAACCACTAAAAATATAACTATGTGGATTAACTGCAGGAATTGTTGACATTTTTTATTTCTCAAAGTGACCAAAATGCTATATGATCAATGACAATATAATGTGACAGAATAGAAAGCTATCCTATCTATCTGGTGTCTTTGCCCATTGTTTCTATTGGTTATGACAAAACTGTACTCACTAACTAGCCCCATCTGTAATCTTTTTAGCTCTTTTTTTTTTTTTTTTTAATGTGAAAAATAACAGATGGTCAAACCCACAAACTTAAAAAATCAAGTTGTGGCATACTGGAATTATGGTTTTCATGCTTCCATGTGAAAGAAAATGTGAAAACTGTATGTCAAGATGAACTTGATGAATCATGAACGTCTGAATGTCTGAAAAGAGGAACAAGCATTGACTAAACACTGTTGCTATGCACTAAACAGAACGGCAAATTATTAATTCTAGCCTGTTTTGGCAGAACAAATCAGTCTGGTTCTTGGCAGGTGAAAGCTTAATCTTGTCAAGGATTATTTTATCTTCACCAGAGCCGTCTGTCACCTACCAGCAGGTTTGGAGTTGATGGGGGAGTTGGGGTGGCGGGCCGTGTTGGTCATGCGTGTCCTCCTTCTCCTGAAGAAGCTACGCAGGATGCCACATTTCAGAGACTCCAGCAGGCTGCTCTTCCCGGCTCCGGAGTGTCCAAACAGCTTCAGCTTGATCCTTGGCTGGACGGTCTGAGTGGGCCGCAGCTGCTGGATGTAGCTCAGTTTGTGGTTGTCCTGACCCAAAAAAGAACCCACCCACACAGATTTATCAAAAAACCACTGACAGTTCAGGTCACATTGAGATACACCATTATCTCCTGTATGGCATGAACTCCCACATGTTTTCATTTCATGACAGACTTCAATTTATCAGATTTTGTTCCACATACTGCATCTTTCTTTTGAGAAACTTCCAAACACACCAGAGATACTGTAGTAGCAGAACTCCTACTATGTTTTTCATACATTGCAACCAACAACAGTGAACCAGCAGCTGTGGGAGGTTTTCAGACATCGGGAACACAGACTGTAGATGGCTGTTTGAATTGTACCATCCCAGTAGGGTGTATATGTATTAGATCAGGGGTTCCCAATGTTTTTGCACCACAGAACTCTCACTGTAATCAAGTAGCTGTGGGCATTGATTACCTTGGGTAATGATGACACACCAGCTCAAAATCAGCCTTCTGTTTTGGGGGCATGACAGGGAATGATAATGAAAGATGCAGCACAGACAAACTGTGTCAAGTTAAAAGTAACTACCACAAAACAAGACTAAGAGTTAGTTAGTTTAACATGTTAACATGCTAACGTTTGCAAAATAGAGCTTAAGTATAGTTGAGGTTGATGTCATTACTTTTGCAGGTACCTGCATTTTGGAAAGTAAAGGGATTACCAAAGTTATTACAAATGATCCTGAAAGGAACTTGAATGTCAGTGCCAAATTTCATGGTAATCCATCCATAGTTGTTGGGGTGTTTGAGAATCACACTTGATGGAAAAGTCAAGGTATCGCCAACGTAATTAGGAATTATCCTTTGGTCACCATGAATTCTGTACTACATTTCATGGAAATCCATCCCATAATTGTTAAGATATTTTAGTCTGGACCAAAGTTGCGAACCAGACCACCCACCCGACGACCGACCAACATTACCATCCTTACAGCCACTAGCATGGCTAAAAAACCTATACTGGTATACTGGTTCAACACAGCCTGGGAGCAAAGGTTAATGGCCTGGAACTAGTCCACATCCTAAGGGTTGGGAACCACCGTATGTGTCTTGCTGTTGTCGATTAATACATGTGGACTGATATTTTTAAAAATGTAACAGGCTGTAGGATGATCAGGGTTTCACTATTGGAATTCTAAATTTGCTTGATTTAGACTGAAATTATTTGATAATACAGACTATTAAAAATGCAATTTGGAGTCATTCCAATGTAGTGAAACACCTTGGTGTGAAGGGTATAGGCAGGCAAGTGCAACATGTGACTGTTATTTGTTAAAGCTGAACAACCATAATGTATGCTGTGCGTAAATCACCTTATAGAGCCACAGTAAATTAGTTTTATTTTTTGACATTCAAATAACCCTCTAATGTTATCTGAAAGGATCAACCCACTAATATACAACATTTCTCTGTGTAAAGAAATAGGGCATCCTGTACACTCAGGCACATAAACATTGAAAGCCATTTCCAAAGATGGATGGCTCCTCTGTACCATGCTGTGAATCTGCCAATTCAACAGATAACATTTGTTAACATGTGACACACTTTTTTAATCATCCAATAGATGAGTCATATATCAGAAGAGGCCTCAAATACTGTGAGTGGCTGTGTGGGATCTGAAAGCACTCCCTACTCCCACCTGGGTTATGTTAACACATTCAATAAAAAAAAGCTTCTAATTTCAATAAGTGTGATTCACATCTGAGCAGAATATAACTTCTCTTTTTGAAATAAGTTACGTTGAACTACACATGTACTCTTTTAAAGTTAGAGGAACAGGACTGTTTTTTTCTCTCTCTGGGTTCTTGGGAAGTCAGCTTTTCTTTCAAAAGTGGCATCAATGTGCCAAAGTGTCTTAAATTATCCCAGCATATGCAGAGGATGACTGTTTTCACAGTTGCTGCTGTCATGTTTTCACGCTCTGCACTGAATCTCAGCAGGTTTTCTGGAAAAATGGACTGGAGGAGAAGTCGGTAACATTTAGATTTAGGTGCGCTGTGGTAGATGTGACACGAGTCAGACTGGGAACACTGGACTGAACTCCCCATACACCTCTGGAACAAACCAGTGTAGAAAAGCTTAATATCATGTAACTAGAAGGTGGCATGTGTCCTGTTGCGTTGAAGTGCCTTTGCACATTCTGAATAAAAATGGCTAAAATGTACCACGAAAACATCCACAAAGCCTTGTAAGGTTTTATGTCTCTAGTTGTGTTTTTTATCAAATATAGCAACTAACAAATCAAATACAACAATCTAATATACCTGTATGTGTTGTGTAATGCACTGCCACACAGTGTGCTAAAGGGATGGGGTGGAATACTAAAATCTGACACCTTCTAGTTGGAGCCATCTCTCTCCACACCTCTGCACTGAAATAGACCTGAAAGTGTGATGAGTGTTTGTGAAACCTGGTTTTGCGTCATACAGAGTTTAGGTATTTTCTTTCCACTTCTTTCCATTTAAACAGTGAACTGAAGAATTCACCGGTTTCACATTTCTTGATAGGCTTAAGTATGTGTGTGTGTCACTTTTTACCTTTTTAAGCTTGCCCAACAAAGAAACGATGAGCTTGTGTTGGTCAGCGTAAGCCAGATCCTCTGCAGTCTTCCCATCCTGAGAGAGAAAGAAAAAACAGAGAAAAAGAAATAAATAAATAATGTGTGAGAAATTATGATCAAACAGATAATCCCTCATATTTAATTTGTACATTTGTGTTGACATTTAATTTAGGATGCTGAACATCTCATTGTTTTTCATTAATTTTAGAAAAAAGTAATTTATGTTGTGCTACACACACACTGCCACTGGAGGAAGCAGCCCTTTGGACATACAGTACGTTAGAAAAATGGAAATATCTTACTGTGTTGTGCTGTTTAATCATTCAAACATCAGATTTTTTGAGACCAAACCAAACACAGTTTTGACAATATTATGGCTCAAGCTGTGTGTCATGTGAGATTCAAGAGGCTTCGCCAGATCACGAGAGAGGACACTGATTTCAAGAGACTTAAGAGACAACCAGAAAAATTTGAAATGAGGACAAGTCATGCTGGTTGTTCTGACCTGTTCTGTCTTCTCAAAGTCCTCCATTTTTAGCCACTACCGTGAGGTGTTCACTGCAGTGCAGGAGGTGCTTTGTTTCCCGAGCTACCTGGATATTTACTCTCAACATTACTAAACTGACCTCGGATAACATGATTCGGATGTGTCATGCTAGTGGAGGAAAATTTAGAGGGCAACAAAGGCCTGCTAAGATCACTACTTACTAATGCCACACCCACTGATTTTTTCATTTCAAACCTGTAGTCTTAACAACCAACAGATGCTGACTCAAGTGACATCACTTGAAGCAATTTATCAGACCCTCTGGAGCCACAAAAGTCTTTATACAATAAAAAACACAATCTGACATGCAGGAGTACTCTCAAACACATGTAAACAGTCTTGGATGTGTAAAATTGGTGGAGGTCCTCCTTAAGCACTGCACTCTCACAGTTGATTCCAGCAGATTAAGTACAGCTGCAGAGTCTACACGCACGCACGCACGCACGCACGCACGCACGCACGCACCCGCACGCACACACCCGCACGCACACACCCGCACGCACACACACACACACACACACACGCACACACACACACACACACACACACACACACACACACACACACACACACACACACACACACACACACACACACACACACACAGTATGTGCAGTCTCATTCTTTCCCTCCGTCTAGCTCCAGAACTGCCCTAATTTGTTACTCTCTTCATTTTCCCCTGAAAACACTGACACAGAAACACCACGGACCCGACAAGTTTCATGTGTCTTTCACTAACGCTGCCATCTGTCACTGTCCGGCTCTGGCTGCTGCTCCACAGGGAAAAACTGCATTGACAGCCTGAAACGCCCACAGAGCGCTTCCTTCTTTTACACAACATTACGGCAAAAGATCTTTAACTGTATCTTTTATGAAAAGATATTGATTACCGATTGTTTTATCTGGAAATATCAATAAAGAATTTTAACCTGAAGTCTTACTAGTACATTTTCTGTCTTAATTCTCTTCTTAGTTTTAGTATTTCTTTCCCACAGTGCCTCTCTGATAAGGTCACCTGTGCACTGAGAGGACTGACCTTTAAGTTGCTTGGATCAGCTAAATGTCAAAGATGTGAATGTAAATGAAGTGCAGCTTGCACCAAAAAATGACCACTTAGTGAGATTCACTTGCAAATTCATGGGACTTGCTCTTACAGATGGCAGGGTGTTACGACCATTACTATCGCTGCTTGGCAACTGACAGATGATGTGAACGGCTGGTGTTATGTGTTTGCCACAAAACTAGAGAGGAATATTAGATCATTGGTAGTATCTTCGCTTTAGATTAAATATCTGCTGAAATGGATTTGGACCGTTTGTCCAAAAGCTATGAATTAGTTCCCTGTAACCGACCCTACTAAGCAACAAATGTGTTCTTTCACTATCCAGTGACACGTTAAAACAGAGCCAACCATAGAGTCTTGAGCTAACTGTATTCCTCCTTCAGTGGCTCCACAACTAACCACTGACCGCAGGCCACTGGACAATGAATTATACATCTCAGTATGCGCTTTCCAGATTAAACATGCATAGCACATCAGCTGTCATACAATATTAACAGCCAGAAAATGCAGAGACAGAAAAGGAAACCTCAGTGTGGGACATCTGGCAGTGCAGCCTCTGGAAAAATGTTTTCATTTTTTACATGCCTTCTAACTTCAGATTATCTGATCTGTCTGAGGAGATTCAGAGGAGTACATTTAGATTTTGAGAAGAATTACAGGTTGATCACGAGTTAAAACATAAAAAGACAAAGATTTTATTGAACAATCAGTAAATCCAGTGCCAGACTGTTAGTTAATCTAATGCCTTTTTTCTCTCCTGTCTGTTTTTCTTGTATCATATCATGTATGTGATATCAGTGCTCTTTATTTCCTACAGTATATTTAATATTTTAGGGATGCAACTTACAATTATTTTCATTATCCATTAATCTGCTGAGTATTTGTCAATAAAACGTAAGTGAAAAGTGAAAAACGCCCATCACCGTTTCCTAAAATAGATGTTAACATCTTCAAATGTGGAGTTTAATCTGACCAACAGTCCAAACCCTGAAGATGATCAAATTGTTACCATACAAGACAAACAAAAGCATCAGTCGCATTTGAAAAACTGAAACAAAACATTTCAGCTCTACTTCACTGACACTGACAAAGAAACAGTATTTAATGTGGGTTGGTCTGATACCAGATCAGCTTAATAAATTCAGTATTAGTTGCTGCCTTGCTCGTTTATAATAAAATTCCTTTATACGAAGAGGAGAGATAAAAAACAAACGATAATCTATGTGCTCTTTGAACATGAGTACAATTAAATCCTGATTTGGGGTTACAGATTTTCAAAACGCCTGCAGAAATATCAGCTGACAGTGCTGAGGTTAGGAACACCATTAAATTCTCCATTACAGCAGAGGGGAGAGCATGGTGCAGCGGGAAAGAAAAGTGTTTTATGTGCAGCATCTAAAAAAAATCATTGGAGTTGAACTCCTACCCACCTCAGAGGTCGAACACACTTGCATCCAGATAAAATGAGTGAATCAGGTCTCTGACTCCTCGCACCAAGTCTGCTCTCTATTTGATCCTCAATAGTTTGATAAAAGCTCTCAGCCTGAGGCTGTCGGAGCACTCAACACCTTACCTAGTGTTCAGTCTCTGCAGAAACAACTCAGTAAAGTCATGTAAGAGTCTCTTCTCTGCACAGTAATTATACTGTTTTTCATGACTGACAACTCATTTACTACTTCATTGTACTTTATAATAAAGACAGGCCCGGTGAGTGTTTTGTTTTTATTGTGAGCATAAGAGAAATCCACTGTAAATTTGGTTCAAGATGACTTAAAGTTTACTGTAATATATAAGACTGCTACTAATAAGTTCAGTGAATGTACTGCATTTAAAATACATCTTCTGAATATTTTCTCCTGAAAAGTCGAACGTGCCAATCATTTTTGGAAAGTAACTGTGTCATTTTGTACTAATGATCGAGGGGAAAAACTGCTGCATTGCATTTGAATTAATCAAAGGTGCTCAACACCTTTGATTAATTCAAATTAAATGCTACAAAACTCTTTTAGTCAGTGCACACTTAATGTTTAATTAAACTTTATTTTTCAAAACAGTACTATTTTATTTATATTTTTAACTTTTTCCCTTTAAATCTATAAATCCAAGCTGTGCTAAGATCTTCTACCCTGTATCTCCTAAAACATCAATTAATCTTCATTTATTCATACAATATATATGAAGGATATGGAGCTAACATTTTTTTTCCCCATACACACAGATACAGAATGGGCCACTAATACTCTCTGAGAAAAAAAATACTTCTGTCAAAACTTTAGAGCTACTTAAACTACGGAAATCTAAGGTGGGTGTCAGGTTCAAGAGGTTAAATCAATTTCAATAATAAAACAGAGGAACCACATTAAAAATTTTAAGCCTTGAATCCACAGAGGAAGAGATTGTAGAAAAAAGGCGATGCAGGAGGTATCAGGAGGGCAGTGCTGATAATGAATTTCTGCAGATTAAATCTAGTTTGAGTTAAAAAGCTGCCATCAGCTTTTCTGCTTTTATTAAGAATGTGTGTATGAAGTGAGCAGTGTCTTGCTCTGCAGCTCAAGCAGAAAATTAACAACTCACCAAGAAATAAACCATTATTGGATCAAACAGAGACAGAGATGTTTTCGGTTTGAATACTGTATGAGCTATGTCACGTATGTCATCCATTTCATTGGGCCATGGCAACATCCCTCTGAAGACACTGTACAACCTGTCATGGTGCTAAATGCTCTCTACATACTAATGCATTTAGCTCTACTGAGAGCAGCAGTGTTCATATAAACCAGTTTACACAGCATAATTAATCAAGACACTGCACTGATTTTACTGAAATTGTGGAGAAAAAAATAGCTTTCCCAATAACCTGCAGGGCGTGAGATAAGTTCTCGTCATAATGCATGATCACATATGTTAGGCTACGGCTCGTATAAAGTGTAGGGAAACAGCGAGAAGAACAAAGTTGTGAGATGACTTACATTGGTGACAACGTCAATGTTGGCTCCAGCCAGGCAGAGGTGGCGGACAACCTCGAGGCTCCCGTTGTTAGCAGCCAGGTGGAGTGGAGTTCTGCCATACTGGATAAAGAGAGAGAAATATCAAAGAAGAGTTTTCAGACAGCATCAGGTGACATGATAATAAAAGCATCCATAGTATTGTTGAGTATTGGACAGCCTGACCTCAAACATGTAGTACAAAAGATTTAAAATATTCTTTTGGTTTTAAAATCGACAGTCTAACATATAAAAAAAAAAAAAAAGAAGCAAACCCTGGAACTGACGCAGCTGTAACTCAAGGATCTTTTTTAAAGTTTTACACAAGTGGAGTTCAAGGATCCTGCAAGATAAGACATGGCTGGGAGAAGAGTGTCGAGGGTCTACTTTAAGGGCCGGATAGAATTGAAAAAGGACACGAGCCCAAGAACATGGTCATATGGATATGGGCAGTACAGTTTGGGTTTGCACCCATGTTGCTTGTCTGCATATACAAATATATTCACACACTTGTTGGCTTGCACAAGTGCGTATCTTGGATATGGGTAGAAATTGCTGTTAGACAGATCCTTGCAGCTAGGATGGCATTAAATAGATACTGAAAGCAATTGCAAAAAGTAAACAGTGTATGAGAGCGAAGATACAGTTTATAGCATTCATTTATGCATCTTTTTCCAATTTCAATTGCCTGACTGTGCACATTTGTACATTTAAAGTGAAAAAAGTGGAAGCGGGGCGATTGTAGAGAAACAGGAAATAAATACTTCAATTTGGCAATCATACAAGCTTCAATAGAAGTGAAATGGAAGGCAGATAAAGGTTAAAAAACAAATACAAATGGATGAACTGACAATTAACGTGGTCAAAAACATCAAAATTGTATTATCATGATATTCATCAAACTTTCCTGAAATAATACTGCTCGTGCTTCAACCTATGTTTTGTTTTGGGTTTGAACAATCTGCATAATACACCAATGCAATGAGTTAGTTGACTGCCTACTGTTAGCATAGCAATCCATAATAGCTAGAGGTAGATAGACAAGGAGTCTACTTGCTGGTCCTGCTATAGTTGTCCTCCCTTTGTTTGACTGGTACAAGGTGCTCCGATGGGGTTGAGAAAAATGAATAAAATGATAAATAAAGCAGGAGCGCTGTGTTGGGCTCACAGTGCCCATAGTTACCATCATCATGTGTTATTACCATCACTATCTTTCACCTCAATATACAGATTTCTCTGCCAGAAGATAGAAGAAAAGCTTTGGAAAATATCAATATCCACTACAAAAGCATAATTGAAAGCAATCAATTCCTCTTTGTTACAACTTGAAAAAATAAGGCAGGACTCATCCTGATTTACTCTACTGTATACAGAACAGGAGACATTTTCAATTCCAGCCCTCTCATTTTTCTCCGTCAACAGCTGACAGTGAAGACAAATACATGCACAGACTCAGCTGTGTGTGATATGCTGCTTTAGATAAGCTTTAAAAAAACAAGCAGAAAGTGAAAATAATGAATAAATCACAACGTCTCTGGCAGCGCTGTCTGCTCCTGATGCACATCACTTCCCTGAACTACTCTGGGAAAAACATTTTTTGTATGCGCAAGAGGCTGAGAGGGGCTACCAGCGTCTCAGAAAAGCAAAGCAAACCCATCGCAGAATACATTAAAATGGATGGTGTCAAAATAGATTGTGAAATCACCAAAGGCAGAAACATGTGTGGGAAGTTGTGCCTGGCAGAGAGGGAACGCAAGATGGGATCTTCAAATATAAACCAGGTACGTGAGAGCTGCCTTAAAGGACCAGTTCACCCAAATAAGATAACTGCCATATTACAAGATATCAGACTTGAGACCATTTTTTTCCACAGTAAATCAAATGTAAATAAATAAATGTTGAATAAGTTTGAGTTTATGAGTAGATATTTTTAAAGTGCTTAACAAATAAAGTTGGATTGGATTGGATACATTAAATAAAGAAATATACTGAATGCTAGATTTATGAGCCCATTGGATTGGATCACACAGCAAAAATCCTCAGGCTGCATGTATTTACACTTACAGCAATCCCTTTAATCCCTATAATATGTTTGCTTTGTGTTTATTTATCCCTCGGCTTGGCCTGTGATTAGTGCTAGTTTAGCTCGGATGGAACAGCTACACTACGCGGTCGAAAGTATGTGGACACCTGAGCACTGAAGGCATATGTGACTGTTGTGACCATTAATCTGCTGCTCTAAGAGCCTTCCACACTTTTGGGCAGGCTTTTCAACAGATTTTGGATCTTGGCTGCAGAGATTATTTCCCATTCAGCCAAAACACCATAATTGAGCTCCATCAACAGGGTCGCGGCATATGGGGCCTCAAGCTGAAACAGGAATGTGCCAACCAAACTGTTACCATGAAGTTGAAAGCACACCATTGTTTAAAATATCTGTATATTATCTTATAAAATATACATAAACATTTCCCTTGATTGTAGCTAAGGGGCCTTGCCAAAAGCAGTGTGGAATGGACAGGAATCCACACACTTTTTGATACCTAGTGTAATCTGGCCAGGCTGCTTACAATGCGAGTTGATTCATCAAGCTGGTGAAATGCATCACATAATGCTGCTAGTGTGTAGCTGGCAGCTGACAAACAATAGCTGTGTTTGCATATTATGTAAGACGAGTGTCAAAATTGCTCATAGAGCAAACAGGAATATTTTAATACAGTGATGCACTATTCAAATTTTGTGGAAGTCATTGCATTTCTCATAACATCTGGATATTAGGAATGCCAGTAACACAAACATAAACAAGGACTTTGACTGAATAGCTGTAGATTGAGTCATAAAATTAAAATAATTTTAAAATCAACAGGAAAAATAAAAGTGTTCGTTCACCCAATTTCAAAAGTGACATATTATAATGGACCCGGAAGCACTCAAGGATCCTACAGGGGCAAAGACCTACAGTAATATGGTGGTGGTTTGATCCCCAATTTCTTCTGTCCACATGTCAAAATGCTCTTACTTGCTTCATTATTCCCCAAATTATTCCACACAATAACACACACGTTGCTTTTGATAAAAAAAAAAAAAAGTCTGTCAAATGTAATGTCACTTCCCAAACTCCAATATACAATGGAGGTGAATGGAATTTCCTTTATAGAGTTCCTATTACATTGGAAAGAAAAACAGAAAGAACTTTTTTTTTTTAGGGGTAGAGGCAGAACTTTGGAAGGTGGATAAGGTAGATACCACTACAGTTGAATGTTATTTCCCTAATTTTAGTGAACTGAGCCTTTAACCATTTTGTTGATATTAGTCCGGTATTTGGGCGCCACATTGCTGCTCTTATTCTAAAAAAGCGTGGGGTGTGGCGGGGAGGGGTTTTCCTCACCTTATTGGGGAGGTCGAGGCTGGCCTTGGCGCTGCAGATCGCTGTGACAACTGGCAGGTTTCCGTCCTTACAGGCGATGTGCAGCGGCGTGTTGCCATGGCGATCCTGCTGGTCCAGGTGGCAGTGGTGTCTGAGGAGACAGCGGACCACTTCAATCTGACACCTCCGTACGGCCAGGTGGAGGGCTGTGTGACCGTCCTGGAGAGGCACACGCACAAAACACAAAGTAAAATCCTCAGCGTCACCTAATTGATCGTCGGTGCTTTTAAACATGTTTGTGTGTCTGGTTGGTGTGAACCTAAAAGCAGGGTAAAAGCAATGCAGAATGTCTCAGTCTGTGATGTCCTGAGAGCTGAATGATGCCCTTAGGTTTTATCATATGTATTGTCTTTCTTTATTGGTCTTGTTTTAGGTGCACCATTTTGATTGGCCTTTAATCAGAGGATCAAAATGTACCAATTTTATTTCTTTTTCATATATTTTTTGGATGCATTTGCCTTTACTAGATAGCACACAGGAAAGACAGATGGCAGGAAACAAGAAAGAAAGCAACAACAAACATAAAAAAGGTTACAAAGGTAACAGTAACAAAGGTTCCCCGCCAGACACAAACTGGGGATGCTGCCATCACATGGTTCAGCGTATTAAACCCCTTGCCCACCAGCATGCTCTGTTTCAGTCTTTTAAACTTTAGGCTAGAAGTGCTCGAGGCCATAATGTTAGTATCGAAGTCTTAGTACTGCACTATATGTCTTTCACTGGCTCGTTGTAACCTGTCTGACTTGTTTTTTCTCATTTGTTTTCCTCAGTGCAGAGGTAACCACACTGGTTTACCCTCTGGCAATGAATAGAGTTATGTGCTGCCTATGTGAGAGGTGCATTAGGAACATACAAATGGGAGGAGAGACTTAGGTTGGACTAGAGGCATGCGAGAATCCCCAATAAGGATCCGGAAAAAACAGCAGGAATAAAGACTTCTGACTCGAACGAGGAACAAAATGTTTGATGAACTGTTCAATGTGACATCTTTGTGTCTTAAAAAACTGTGTAATTGTCTCTGCATGGTTACATTACTGTATGTTGTGCTGAAGTGTTTGGGGCTGATCACCTTGTCAGTTGTTTCTAGATCTGCTTTGTGCTCCACCAGGCACTCCACAATGTCCACAAACCCCCGAGCAGATGCTGTCAGCAGCGGACTCTCCCCCTCACGATTCTTTGCATCCACATGGCAGCCTGCCTGGCAGAGTGCTCTGGCTACTGCAGAGTATCCGTGCCACGCGGCGCAATGCAGCGGGGTCTCCTGCTCCTGGAGATGGAACGTAAAAGAATTAAAAACCTGGGTCCTTTTGTTGAAAAAAGGTCTCTAAAAACCACTAGGGTCATTTTGCTGCCTGTGTGCCTGTGCTTACCCTGTCAGCCAAATCTGGGTTGGCCTTGATGCTGCACAGGTAGCTCACCACATCCACGTTGCCATACCGAGCCGCCACATGAAGAGCAGTCTCCCCAGACTGAAGGAGACAACATTGAATTAACATCAACAGTTATACTATAAATAAAAATAATAACACTTATGTCCACACACCACAACTTTAAATAAAAAAAGATATATTGGAGTTTTTACAATGATGAGTGTATGGTATGGTGGATACAGTGGTTCCTACTTTGAGCTATGGCAAGTGAAATGCCTATTCCTGTTAGTCATGCCACTTCCTCTGAGTCAACAACTTTCCAAAACTTCCACTTAAACAAGGCATTCAGATTTGACTGTCGTGTGTGTGTGTGTGTGCGCACGCACAGACATCGGACTCGTTAGACATCGATCCATCAGCTTTAACTTTATGGCTGCAAGTCAGAGCAGCTCGTTAGCAGAGAAGCTGCGTATATGAAACAACACCCAAGACGTTGTGTTCGCTTGTGTGGGAAATTGAAGCGCTTAAAATAGCAGCTAATGGATTTATAATGGGGGAAAAAAACTTTGCAGATCTATTTAATTAGGGGACTTACATAAAAACACAAAAGAGAGACAAAGATTCACCTTGTTAAAAAGGCGTTTCCCTTTCTCATGAGACGATTATTTGGTTCCACACAGACACCTCAGCTTGTGATTCCAGGGTTATAAAGTAATAAAGTGAGCTGAAACTTTAATGATCCTAAGACAGGAACTAGATATTCAGGAAAGTGCCTGGAGTGCAGATAAGCTCTGGTGGAGGAGGACTCTCTGCCTGACTGTTCACAGACACAAGAGGACATCACCAGCGGGTAAAATGATTGAGGAGATTGGAAAATGCTTTTGGGATTTCGTCTGCCAGAGCGAGCTCTGTGATCGAGGCTACACCAGCATCAAAAGCAAACACACATACACCATCTTTCTCAGCAAGACCTGTTTCTATAGCAACAGCAAATAAGCTGATAAAATGGCAGAATAACTGGTTTTCTCCCCAGGTGCTGACTGTGGTGAGTTTGAACATGCGAATTTGTGTGTGTGAGAGTGTGTATCTGGGCATTATGGAGAATCAAAGTAACGCTTCTCAAGAGGTTTGATGGGTAGGAGTGTGTGAGTAATTGCTGAGAGATAACAGAGTATGGTGAGTTGTAGTATGTATGTGTGTTTCTGCGTGTGTGTGTGTGTGTGTGGGGCAAGGAAAAGAGACACTTGATTCACCTTATCTTGGACATTCAGAGGGCATTTCTTTTCATGGAGGAATTTCAGGGTCTCCACGTGGCCGTGTCTCGCTGCGTAGTAGATAGCGTTGGCTCCACTCTGAAGGTTCAGGAGAGAAGCAAATTGACGGATTTATCCCTGACCTTTACTATAAAATCACGCTCTCTGGGACTGCGTCTGCAGCCAGATGATATGAACACATCCTTCTAAATACTGCACAGCATATGTCTGACAAAGAACTTGGAACTGTTTAGAGGGCGTGTCAGCATCCTGCCTTCCCAGTTAACCAAATGCACATAACACACTGACGTTTGTTATCCTGACTGCATTGTGATGATTTACAATATAGCAAACAAAACAGGAAACAAGTGTAAGATTGGTGAGTCTAACAAGTGCTGACTTGTTGCCAGTTGTTGACAGTTTATACTTTATTTCACCTTTTGTTGTGTCATTTCTTTTAGACAACAATTATCTTTTTCTTTTTTTTGGACAAAACAAGATATTTGAAGACATGACCTTGGGCTTGGGGAACTTGTGATGGACAGTTTTCAATATGTTTTGACATTTTGACAATGAATCGATTATTTGAGATAGTAATCAGCTTATTATTTAATAATTAAAATAATTGTTAGATGCAGCCATATTTCCTGTTTGTATAAAACAACTTAAATCACTAATTTTGTTATCACTTAGAATAATGAATTTGGCCAACAGAAGTTTGTAAATTTATAACACTATAAAATCATATAATCACAATACAATTCCACTGAAATATGAATTACCATAATATTGAATTATTTCCCAGCCCCAATATTTTAACTTGTGCTTTTAAGCTAAAACCACAAAACAGTGACAGTAAAGTTTATTTCATGAAAATATTCAGTTTTTTATATTTATTTTGCAAATTAAATATATATATTGAAGCTGTTCTGCAGGTACAGAACAAGTATATATCTTTCTAAAGGGACTATATAAAACATATCAATGGAGCATATGCTGTAGTAGTACTACAGTACTTTGTGCAGTACACCTGAGTGCAATGAGTTCATGGCTACCCCATCATAATCCAAATGACAGCCTGTCACATTCTTCTGTCTTCATTACTGCAGCGCCTTTACAGCATGTCTACTAAACTCCACCGCTGGCTGTCAGAACCACACTGCTTACACCAAACAGATGAGTCTTTACCTTGTCATGGGCCTGGATCTCTGCACCTTTTCTCATCAGCACCTCGATAATCTGGATGTTGCCACAGCCGGCTGCAATCAGGAGGGGAGGAGTCCCGTGCTGAAATGTACACACACACTATAATTTCAGTTTTCAGCGACCATGATGTGTTTATGTATCTTTAACGTGTGCTAACAATGGAGCTGTAAACCTCAGTTTGACAGCACGTAATTATACATAAAGAATACTAAGAAGTAGGCCAATTTTCTCCCACAAGTTGTTACAAATGTTCAGGCACTCAGGAAATTAAATTAGATCGCCATATATCAGGTTACAGACTGTGTCGGCTTCGTATGTGTCTCATGGTGATGGGAATACAACCTTAGTTTATAGAAATGAAGGAAAGCGGATGGAAGAAAATAGCAAGATGACCTTTTCTGAACATGTCACTGAGCTTAACAAAGCTAGAAGAGAGAATTACCAGCTGTAAACTCAAAATCTTTTCTTTTGCCGTTCTTTAAAAACCTTTATCAAGTGCTCTGTCACTAACAGTAGTGTTATTCTCCTTCTCCTTTTCATATTGCTATATTGGCATACTCTCCTCTTTTGCTTTACACTTCACTGAGTTTAATAACATCACGTCCCCCCCTCCCCCCCATCAGCTGTCAACAAACAGCATCTCTCCATCGAAGCAGCAAGCAGAATAACGATGAGGGAGTTGTTAAGTCGGAATATGTACCCAACCACCAGGTTGTAAAAACTAAGGAACTGTTTGGGTCTTTTCTGCACTTCATAATTCATACTCTCATAAAATGTATACAACTGTGAGTCCTTCACTCGGCTTCATTTCTGTAATTTTCTCTCTATAAAAATCTTAAATAAGTGGGAACTGCCACACTTGAACTTGTTTCTGTTTCTCATTGACATTTTTACTTCTTGAGAAATCTCACTTCTTTGTGTTTTAGTGGCCAATTTCAGTCCCTGTGCTCCACCTCGTATCATCTATATTTCTGATTTCCATTTCAATGTCATCCACTATTTTATACATGGAGATAAATGTAGATGACACATTGTTTCTCTCTGGCTGTTCAGATGCTGATTTGCTACCCACTTCTGTTTTCATACAGTGTTTGAAGAAATTGACCTCTTCACTATGCTTTAGGGAAATTTGAAAAGACAGAACTGAAAAATGTCAATCTGGAAACAACAACTGTCAAAGAATATGACTTTCCAGCATGCAACGTCCTCTTTGTGAGTAATATTATGTCATAGGAGAATGCCTACATATCTACATCTCTGTCTGGAGTTTTATTATTATTATTTTTTTGTTGTTTTTTGCACTGGCTGTAGGACCCATTTGGTCCCTAAAAGCATATAATAATCTCAAGTTTTATGTACACTATGTCTGTGTCTATCACCTTGTTGGGCTGGTTGACGTCGTAACTGTTCAAGGAGCCGAGCAGATGCTGCAGACCGGGCACGTTGTCGTCGTTTATGGCATGGATGATAGCCTTCATCACGAAAGAGTCTTCCTCATCCTAGAAGGGTGGGAAAGATAGTTACTCTTCTACTGTTCACAGGATGAACATTAATCCTGTGAATTCTTTTGATCACATGCCCCCTAAATCTCTCTTTCATCTTTTTTATCGTGCATGAATACACACCGAAACAAACATACTTTTCTTTTGGATCTGTCGCTGAGGTTCAAAACATACAAAGACGTTTTTTAAGTCTGTGACACATGACCCAACAACCTTCAGCCGGATGGCACAGAAATCAGCTGTGATGCTCTGCTGCACAAAGAGACGAGGAGGAGGAAGGCAGGGAGGGAGGCGAGGCGAGGCTGATGTGGCGTTTGTTCGGCCAAGCGTGATACTCCAGCTACATTCCTCAACATAACCTCCCTGCTGGGGGAGCCATGACTAAACCACCTCAGAGGGCTGCAAACACAACACAAATATGTATGAGCAGCAAACCGCCTGCTGGGGACTCGCTGTCAACACAGCTGTTGTTGGGATTTTTACCTTCTGAAAATTGTAATTCATGTCACAGGATGGAGAGGTTTTTACCAATCTACCTTATTTTCTCTTTGAAGTGTACTATTCCCAGAGCAGGCCTCTGCTAACAGCTTAAGAACCTCCAACAAAAGAATACAGTGTGATACATGTGACACATGTGACACGTGGTCCTGCAGAACAGTCTTCACAAAAAATTATTTAAAAAGAGTAACAAGGAGGCTGGTATCTGGAAAATAAAGATGCGGTCTTAGGGGGACATGTCCGGCAGTTACAACTTTTTAAATAGACTGGGACAACTAGGATTGGCACTGGGAATAAGTGATGCTCTTCTGTCCCTCAAAAAGTTATTTTGGAGTTGTTTTGTACAAGTGGCTAAACTTTATATGCTTGTTATCATGACAAGCTAACTCTCCAAAATTTGTTCTTTTGTTGGGGCATCTTAAGCTACAGTTACTCTGTGTTTCTCTGTGAGTTTCTCTAACTATTCATTTATGTTACAACTCATTCAAGTCATTCATCAAGCACAAATGAGTTGAGCCACATTTGATGACAATAGCAACTAAGATATATCATAGAGTCACTGATTGTGTTTTGCAATAACAAAGCATTTAAAATTTTCTACAGCCTCTGGGCCTCCAATCTGTGATTGGCTTCTTCTCCATAGCAACAGCGGTGAGGCTGGTGAGTATTGTAGCCGTAGCAAACATGGTTCCTTAGAATAAAGTTAAAATACAAAAATGGGTGGTGATAACACAAAACTATAGTATTTTACTCCACCCAAGTGAATATTCATGATTTGCAGCCCTACTACTAATACTTTCTCAGCTCTCACACCCCATTCCCTGAATTACTTCCATCATCTGACACAAAGCCTCTAACACAGAAAATTAACAGAGGGGTGGCTGCACTAAAGCCCACCTCTGAGTAGAGTCTTTAAGTAAAGCACTTAACCCTGGAACTGCTTTCTAAAGATCTATTACGAAGCGTCTACTAGTAAACATTAAACGCTGCTGCACTTCTGTTTATGGACTATGGGGGGCGCAGCAACCTCAACGTGTTTAGTTCTACCTGCCAGCTCACCTGTGACAAGAGGAAGTTGCAGCGTAATCCTTTGATGGGGGAACAGACCTGGCCTTGGCCTGCTGGTAATGCTTTGTAAATGATTAAGCCTCTCACTGAGGCTGCAGTGTTTACATCTCACAGGCTTGTCGGTATCAAAAGACACACAAATGATATAAAAGCTTTCTTATAGATCACCATTTGGGTTTGAACTCATACAAACTGACTTGTACATTTACAACAGTTCCTTCTCTGGAGGCCCATTCCCTGGAAGCTTAACCTGGTTTTAAAGTCACACACGCTGAAATTCCAACAATTCGACAAACACCTGACCTGGGCCTATGGAGGGGAAATGAGGAACCGATCAATTACATGTAGGAGCTCAAGATTCTTAGAGAGATTGTCGAGTTAGAAATACCAGAGCTGTAACTGAGACCTTGGGGTCCTAATAAGAAAATGCACTTCAATAAAAGCAATCTGAAACTAATTAAGATGCCAGTCTCCTGTCAATTATGTTTATTTGGCCTGTATTAAAGATAGAATAGAACTGCAGAGATGAAAGTAATGGTTCTTCTGTTGTAGATGTTTTACTCAAGTGCACTTTAAAGCCCTGATGCCTTTAATAGCTGAACATCCAATAAACCTGAATGAATTTGGATCAAGATCCTGGCTGTAATAATGTTAAACAGTCCTGCTTATCCTGAATTTAATGTCTTTTTGTATTTGTTTAGAGGTTATGTCTGCCAGTCTAAGCACAATATGTAGAGGTCTCCAGGTCTTACCAACGTGTCATCACTGCGTGCCACACTTATGTTGCTTCTGGACAGGAATGAGCGGGACAGGCGGTTGCATAAGGAGATAAGTCGGACGGATTGCTGGAAAAGAAGAAGAATGGAGATTTATGAATGAGTAGAACGAGAAGTAGTTGATGTCAAGTCGTGTTAAGGGGGACACGACCAGGCAGGCAGGTGTGGACATAAAGCAATTTTCTGCTGTTTAAATTCACTTCAGTTGCTTTTCTCATTGTGATTCACTCTTTGATAACCCCATTGTCTTTCATACTGTTAAGTGAGTTTACTTTTTCCTTACAGTACAGAGTCCTGCTCTCTACAACTCCCTTAAATTAAATTTTAATTCAGAATATTTTATATTGCTCCCTCAAGAAGCAATTTGAGGGAATTCAGTTTGCCAAAACAAATAAGACAAATAAAATAAAATACAAAATATAGTAAGGTAAAATAAAGAGCTGAAATAAACAAGGATAAATGGCAGTGGTCCATCTGTTACTGGCCAACGACATCCAATGCCGCGAAGGCACATTATAGCAAAAGGTTCAAAAGGGGCAAGTGCATTTATCAGTCTGTACACACAATAAAATGACCCGCTCTTGCACATCTTCACAAGTCCAAAGGCTTCTGAAATAAAACCAAACTTCCTGCTATTTGTTTTACAAACAGAGAATCAGGGCATTATGTTAAAGCAGTCACTGAAGCCAGCGGGGTAACTGATTATGTACTCTTATGTGCCTTTTTGAGGACTTGTACGGAGCTGTGGAAGGGACCTCTGTGTCTTGTCAGTAATTTAAAAGCTGAGGTTAACCTTGCAATTAGTGTTTGTACTTTCGCCAAATTAACGTAAACCAGCATATAAGTTCACTTACAAATATATTGATTTGTACATATTTTAATACTCTAGATCTTAGACTTGAATGGGCTCTATTTGCTTGGTCTTTCAGACTGGGAATCACAAGAATCTGGCCTTGAATGGAGCTGGGTTTTTTTATTTTCACTCCTAATTTGCTAATATGGTGAGATATTTCATAAACCTTACAGACTTTTTGAATCTCACTTTAACTTAAATTATGACTATATTCATGTCTCTGCTTCGTCATGTTTTGGCTACAGTTTTATATGTGGGAATAAATAAACCTGAAGTCAAATTAAGCTTACTGAAATGCCGGTTCAGTGTGTGAGACTCTTAGCAGAAGACAGAGACATGGCGTGACAGCACTGCCAAACCACCACAGATTCCAGCATTTCTTGCAGGCTGGGTGCAGTGGTGGGTCAGCCATGGTGAACCAAAAGAGACAAGGAGACGACCTTTTAAAGCAGCACGGTGTGTAAAAATCAGAGATAGTATCACAGACATGCACTTACTTTCCATTTTCTTCGAGCTGCAAACTTCTTGAACTTTTCCATGTTGACAGCCGACTCCTTTCTGCTCAGTGCTTGTAGAGTGTCTTTTGGCTAATTTCACAAACACATGTTTCGATAGACAAATTATTATTTAATACATTAAGTACAAAATCAATTGGTTGAGCCTTAACACAATATTCATCTTAGAAAACGAAACTATTTCAATATCAACTACTACTACAAAATAAAAACCAAATATCTTAAATTTTACAGGTTTAAAAATGTTATAATTAAATAGAGATGACATCAGTCAGCTATCAAAAGAGTCTAACCTTGATCCAAGGGTGCTGGAGGCTGTCCTGAATAGTCATTCTTTTTCTGTGGACAGTAAAAGTATAAAGATTAAGGAGACAGAGACATTTTAGACTTTAGATATTTAGCAGTTCCAGAGTTGATAGTTAACAGCCTTATTCAGTGCTTTCTGGTGTGACAGCATTTTAATGGTCAAAGCAAGGTAGAGGCAGGAAACTATAAATTAATGTCAATTATTTTTAATTTCAAAGAGGAGAAAATATGCCCCCATCCATGTGTTGTGTGTGGCATTCAAAATCCAGTTCCAGGAACTCAAGTGGGTGGTTAAAAATAAATAAAGCCTTTAATGAATATGGGCAAAAATACTGACAAACATTGACAAACTTGACTTTGTCAAGGTGCGTTGACACACAGTCATTATGTGTCAGATGTAACCGGAATTGGATGCAATGTCCCACGCATGAATGAGGACATATTGTTTTCTCTTTAAAATTATTTCTTTTCACCTCCAAGACCACCAGAAGTTGTAAATGGCACCAGAAACACTGCTGTTTGTATTATATGTGCAAAACTAGATTAAATGTATTAATGCCACCGCTGTCAACAGCCCATGAAAGCTGTGGACAAGTTAAACGAGAGATCACATTACCACAGACAGCAAACACAGCTGTGTGCAGATCAATATAAGAAAGTGTCACTCAAATGTAGCTGTAAAGAAATGATTATGATACAGTTGTGAAATACTAATATCCCATCTTGATATAAATTTGTCATAATTCTTTCTAAACCTTTTCTTCTAGTAGTGTGACTCAAACAGGAACAAACTGTGGTGAATCTTAAGTCGTGTTCAGACTGACATTAGCACTGCATGAAAACATGCAGCCCTCTCATTCATTATAATAAGACCACTGGGGTAACACAACACAAAAAACAAACGATCATCTGGCGAAAACCTAGTTCAACATTTGTTGCAGTGTTTTGGCCTAATAAATCATTAATCACCAATAATTGATAAAAAAATAATTGTATAATTAGTTGCAGCCTTACTGAAAACTATAATTGTGACAATAACTGTCAAATCATACATATAAAAAATTTTCCTCCAAGTGAAAATACTACTTTTATAAAATTGATTAGTAACTCATTCATTTTTTCTTAACTCATCCCCATTTTTGCTATATTGATCTATGTTGATCTAAAACATCTCATTTCCTTTTTGAAACTATCCAAATAACACATGCTTCTCAAATAACAACACCTCAAATGACGCATTGAGACAAACTATCAGGAACATCCGAGTAAACGGAGCAATTGATGTGACAATCAATTTGTGTACTACTTCCCAAGATACATATATCTTAACGGAGAGGATACTTAAGTTAGGGAAGATGTTTCAAAACATAAAGCACTCCATTCACATATAGGCTATATTTAATTAACATCACTAACGCTCTGAATGTCAATAATCTATATTAAATTACCATCTGATATTCAATAGAAGCCAAGGTAGTCGTTAAGGGAACTGGTGTGGTCAAAAGTACAGACACCACTTCCCTTAGTCCCTCACAACCACATCCCGTATCACAACTGCTGTCAACTAACACTGAAAACAACGAGACATTGTTTTAAAAAAGTTTCACTATGCTCAATGTGCGCCGACATAACCACTGGGGAAATTGGTGTAGTCCAGTACATCACTTCCTCCTCTACGTCTACCACATCCCTGTTTCTAACTGAGGCTATTTTAAAGGGTATTCTGTTCTCACACACCCCTGAGTCAAAGTACCACAAACCTTTACACTGCTGACTGAGGTAACAGTGAACTTAAGGGGTGATACTGTCTTTCCACATTTTAGGTGAGGAAATGTTCCAATACAGTGGCTATGCTGGTGCACTCCAGTGTCATGGTAAACATTAGTATACAGTGGTGTGTGTCTTCTTCAAGGAAGCCTTCATTAATCTTCCTGCCAGCTGAGTGGATCCATGTCTGCTCACTATGTAGATCAATTAAAAGCCGTTCCATTTTGATGCACTTGGTCGGGGATTTTTAAAAGCCCCATTAGTTCAAGTTTGTAAAGTCAGTCTCCTCTTTCTCCCACTGCAGTTTAAAGAAACATGTTTCTTTCTTACTTTATCCTGTCTAAATGAAATTATCTCCACACCTATAATAGTTCACCCCTATTAGCCCCCTCGCTCTCGCTCCATTGTTCTGAAGAAACAGGAGAAAGGAAAAGAGTTTTGATGGCATTACTGTCTTTAAGTGTAGCTGCAGCCATTCAGCTGTTGCTAGAGCAACTCGGTAATAAGGAAGAGATTTTTAGGTAACGAATAGTCTCTAGTGACAAAGGAGATTTATTATAACATCTGCGGGGGGCATATATTCTATTTTCTTGTCAGCTTTTTAGACCTAAACCAATGAGACCAATCACAGAGCAGATATTTACAATAATGTCTTTTAAAAGATATGATTATAGATTGTATGTAGAGATAGGTACAAGATAGAACTTCTTATTTATAATGTTGTATTACTTTTGAGTTGTGATCTGGCTGCTGTCCCTAGTTGACATTTGTTCCATATAGATGTATTCAGAAATATGAACTTCAGATAGCGATTTCACAATCTTGTGCTAAAAATATTAGTTGATTAATCCATTATTTAATAACAATTTAGACAACTGATTAATCATTTAAGTCCTCTATCAAGTATAACTTTCCAAAGTTAACACACACACAACGAAAAAAACAATAATGGATGGAAGAAAAAAGAAAGAGAGATCATACATACTTGGGGTCTTTGACAAGCAGCCTTGCTATGAAGTCTTTGGCCAGGACGCTGGTGTTGCTGAAGAACTCCTCGTCAAACGTGTAATCCACGGCCGACACGTTGGCCAGAGTCTCCTGCTTGTTGTCACCCAGGAAGGGGGACGCACCACTCAGACTGCAAGATGGGGGCCAGGGTTAACAATAAGGTTAGAGGTGTGAACGCTGACTGTTGTTTAACAGAGACAATGAGGACAACACAGTCAAACACACAGTTTTGAAAATATAAACACACTGTAAAGTAATATGAATTTAATATATTTCTTTTTTGACTGCATGTTAAGCTCCACATGTCTGCTTTAATCAACTCAACAACTTCAGTTCCAGCAACCTAATCCACTTTAACAACAGTAGCGCTCTCTCATCATCTAACTTGTATCAGTGGGTCTTGCAATCACAAGGAAAGGGAATACATTGATTCAAACACCAACTCACCCGCTACTGATTAGCCTTGGCCCTCGAAACCGAAACTGGGACCTTACTACTCGTGGATGTGGGAATGTGATTACGGAGCCGTGTAGATTACAGTGACTCATTAGTCAAGCCTTGCTATCAAACTGAAGTATTTGGTGTGTTAGTCAAACACAGGAAAGCCAGTTGGCCGGCTCTCAGTCCCACTGAATATGCGAGGGGGTTTTTGAGCTGGGTGCAGGAATTTTAACACACCTCTTAATTGAATGCGTGCATAAAAATGAGCAGATGTACTGAGGGGATAACATGCGCACCAGCACAAAACAAAAGCACGTTTTAATGGATAAACCAAGATAGAGTACAGCACACACACAGGGCTGTAGCAGTCATGTGTGTTGATGAGGTCTCTAAGAGCTCAGGCAGTTAAACCAAACACCGGTCTCTGGCCTTGCCTTCTCCACTGAAACCACTCCAGCTCGTCAGCACCAGCCGCTAATTAACATGCCAGCTGGGACAGACATGGAGGTGGTGCGGTTGAAGCTCAAGTTGAGTGGAAATGTATGAATTTATCGACTGTATAAAGGTGCAGCTGCTCACAACAAACAAGTAATTAAGTCAATTATTCACCAAGCAAGCAGGAAAGTGTTAAGTCAGGATTCTGTGGTGACATTTTATCCATCCTGTATTCCCAAAATGCAACTTAAAGATGCAGTATGTACAATTTTTTATGCTGAAACAGACCCGTCTTACAAACTGCAACCCAAATTAGGGTAGTTATTATCGTCACTCACTGATTCACCACACTTAGCCAAATGATTTCAGGTTACATTATCTCAAACAAGTGAAGTCTTTCAAACTCTCAAAAATGGAAACAGTACTGCAGTATCTTTAGCTAATTCTTCGTAATGGAGCTTTTTGTGCATCTTTCATTGCAGCGAAGCAATCGGCTCATCACTCATGCAGAAAACTCCCATTTAGAGTTTGGAGATGGTCCCAAAAATCACCCCAAATCGTTTAATTATTCCTGGCCACTTCCCCCCCATCACATTGTTTTTTTTACAATAGGAGATGAGCAGTAAGTGCACCTCACTGTTCAGCTATGATAATAGGCAGTGAACGATCTATTTTCTACCTTGCCATGCAGAGCTGTGACAGCTGTGGGGGTGGACAGCATGAACAAAGATCGTGTGTGTACGGTAGAGTGTGTTCATGTAATGTAGAGACAGAATGATGCATCATTTTAGCAGCATCTACATATTACTCTTCGAAAAAGAAGAGTGTAATGTTTGCAGCTAATGTTGCAAAAACTTAATTTAATGACTACCAGCTGAAACTGATAAACACGTCAAATACGCCTGCTGTTAACTTTCCAGCAGTGGGAAAGGGTTTATGCCTTTGTGTCCTGCTGCATGTAATGATCTTATTCCTGCCTAAGCCAAGACACTATAACTGGTTACAGTTAGTCAAAAACTCTGCATATTGCTCTCAAATCACCCCAGTTCAGATGTCAGTACACTGGCTTCTGATTAAATTTAGGATTCAATTTAAGATCCTCCTTCTCATCTATAAGGCTGGCTGTGGAAAAATCTCGCCCCAGAATACATTAATGAAATACTTATGCCTTATACCTCTGCCAGGCCCTTCAGGTGCTCTGAATGAGGCCAGCTAGTTATACCTTGTTCAAGACTGAAAACAAGAAGGGGACTGCACATTTACTGTCCTGGGTCCCAAGCTGTGGAACGGTCTCCCTCTGGGAGTCATGTCAGCAACCTGTCATGGGTGTTTTAAGTCACAGCTGAAGAGCCATGTACACTATTTTGATTTGTGATTCGTTCTTTAAACCTTTTATCCTTTGTAGCCTAGGTTTTAAAAAGGTGCTATATAAACAAAATTTTACTTGCTTAGTTACTTATGGTATTATGTAAAGATGAGATAACATTTGTGCTACAAGTTTTGTGCACATATTTTATGTTTGGCCTTGTGTAGGTGTCTCTCTGAAGGATAACGGTGTGTGGGAGCTCAGAAAACCGGGTATAAAAGAGAGGAGGACAGCATCATCAAGAGAACAACAGCGGTTGATCTGTGGGTCGCCAAGGGCATGAACTTTTCTCTCGCTGCTGAATTAAACTGTGCTGACATGTCTGCAGACGGCTGCTTCAAGAACACTCGCTAGTTCAATGAAAGCCCTTGGCTATAGAAAACAAAGATGTTTTAAAGATCAGTTTGTTAACTGAATTACAGGAAAATTGGCCATACAGGTGAAACATATTAACTTATGGCATTCATTTTGAGACCTCGGTGTAAGAGCCTCTGCAGTAGTCTGGCTATCGCTGATTTGATGAAACAGTGAGTTGTAGCTACAGATTGTGATATAATCAGGGCTAATGTTCTGAGGTCACATCACATTCATTAACTGCATAACGTGCCAACAAGATCAAAGAAGACAGCTAGCTACACTAACCTCTAGCAGCCTAAACAGTGCACTTTTTAAGAGTTAATTATTTTAGCTTTTTATTGAAAAATGTACCTCAGGAAGCATTTTCATAGCCATCAACATTGCAAGAAGAACTTACTGTAAATTGTTGCAGTGGAAAATTAATGTAATTAATGGTGCTGTGAAATTGCTGCTAGACCACCCTGTTAATACAAGTATCTGCCTCCAACAGTTTTTTGACTGCAGTGAAAAAGTTGTCTTTAAAAGCTTAAATGCTAACAAGCATGGAAATAATTACATATTTTTCAATAACATTTGACTTTTGCAACCACCACTGGAATCTAATTCTTTAAATATACAATACTATTAATATTATGTATCCTAATCTTTATCAGTGGAAGTTTATTTAGAATTCAAATGTCAACATTATAAATGAAGCCTACACTCAAATGCACTGAAAATGCAGTTTTAATATGCCTGACAGTCCTTGCTGCAGGCTATTACATTATTCACAACAAACAGCATACATTACAGCAAACTGACCGACAGAGAGGTCGAAGGGCAGCCAGTAACCCTCTTTACGTCTCAACAAACATTCTGACTGACTGTCATGTTGAGTGAATGACGACGCCCTGGGGTTTGTAAATACATGTCAACAGAAAAGGTGAAGGAGGTTGTTGTAAAAACTCTGCGATGATGCGTGTTTTTGATTCATACGTGTTTCAAATTTCACATCATCACTGGTGTCATCTCAGATACTTACAGGATGTAGGTTATCACACCAACACTCCTGAGGGGAGGCAGGGAGAAAGAGAGAACGACGACACATTTTTAACATCAAATAATTAAGAGCAGATGTGCATTTTGACAGCAGTGCATCATGGAAAACTCAAGCTTACTTAACAGCAGATGCTCTTCAGAAATAGGAACAAATGCAAACAGCATTTGTACACAATGCTCATTGCAGAGCAGACAGAGTTTTTATTTACTCACCACATGTCTGCCTCCAGGCCCAGAGGTTCATAGTTGACTACTTCTGGAGCTGTGAGGCAAATGCACAAAACAGAAGTTTTTTCCTATTCCGGTCAACACGCCAACAACACACACACACAACACACAACACACAACACACACACACACTAACTTTACCTTTGATTAAATTTTCTCTCATTATTTTCTCTTCCTTCCCTTACTAATTAATTTACTTCTTTTCTACCTGCAATGCCTTTTTGATAAGTTTAGCTTGAGCGTGTTATTTCATTCTGTTGGGTTCACAAATTTCTTTGTTTCTTTAGAGGTGTTGTTGTTTTATAAGCCACTGTTTCACACCTGCAGGAACTGTGATTATCTCTTTCTTTTCTAATGTCAGATACGTGAATAATTAACAGTGAATCAGTACATTCATTTCTAATGAAATTTAAACAAAACAGGTTTGAAATAGGAATTATGTTGGTGAGAAGACCCTCAGACAAAAATGGACCCCCTTTCCCCATGACACTAACATAAAGTTTTAAGTTGCTATTATTCTTTGTCTTTTGGGGGGTTATCAGACTTTAAGTACTGAAACTACGGGTTCCTTTATACGATGGCTTTGGGGGATGTAAATAGCAAGTTTAATATTGCCTTAGAGTCAGCTGTGGGCTGCAACTTGAGGCACATTTTTAAGCCTATATCTGTCTAGAGTTCAGCAAATTGGCACCATTGAAAATACGCCGAATAAGCAGTTGTTTACAATGTACCCATGTACGTACAGACGATATCGCTTGGTTACTATGATACTGAAGAAAATTTAAAAACATGATCATTCTTAGGCCCATTCTGCTCTCTCTCTTTTTCAATTTTTATTTCTAAACAGATTCATGGAAATGTATTCACATTGAACAGAGACAATAATATCATCTGGAAGTGCAAGTCACACTCAATCTATAAATATGCATCATGCCTGCATCCTCAATTTTGACTAAGTAAAGGCTCAGAGAAGGAGTATGGCTTCAATGCAAATTACAGATATTTGACACTTAATGATTTATAGTACCTCAACCACATGCTGGAGAGGCAAATGAAAAAGCAAGACTCATAATTTATATTTGCTATGAATTTACGATGCACATTTCCTAAATCATTAAATTTTTTGTACCTGATGAATTTCAGAGCTGTAAGGACTGTTTTCCAGCATCGGCTATCCAAATCATGATTTCGGCTTTCTGCCACTTCATCTTTATTTAGACCGTTTGACTGCTACCACCCTGCTGAACTGGGAACAGGTTCTGATTTTAGCCTGGATGAGGCTGGTAGTGGGCACTAGAGTTGGGCAGGGGGAGACTTGGGAGTGTTGGTGGGCAGTCTGGGCAAAGGGGTAGGTGAAGGGAGATGGGACGAAGCCAGCGATGTGTGTGTGTGTTTGTGTTGGCAAGAGGGAGCAGTTCTGATAATCTCCAGTCTATTATCAGGTCTCTCTCACTTAGTCCCTATGGCACAGTTGGCACCTGCTCTCACAATACGCAACCCCTGGGATAAAGCCAGGGAAACAGGGTGGTGCAGTGAATCTGTGTGTGTTTGTGTACATACAGTAGAGAAAGGATGGAGAACATATTTGTGCAAACTCATCAGCAGCAGAATCTGTTCAACAAGACATCAAACTAGACGGGGAAGAAGAAAATAAGGAAGGATGAAAGACATGATTCTTCAAAGAAATACTGACCGACAAACTCTGGAGTTCCAAAAATGTTCTTAAAATCATTGCCAAAATCTATCTTGTGGGCCAGCCCAAAGTCAATGATCTTGATGCGCGGGTGAGGCACTGAGCGGCTCAGCAGCATGATGTTCTCCGGCTAGAAAGGAAGCAAATGAGAGACTGTTAAAAAGGTGAGACGGAAATAGAAAGAGGAGATAGACAGTAGAGACAGAGGCAGAGACCAAACTCTACTGACCCTTTCTTTCTTTTTTTTTTCATGATGATTCCAATGAGGAACAAATATAATGCTCACAGAGAATTAGAGGATGAACATCCCCTAAATTCCCAACGCAGGCCACAAACTAAGTGTAAACAAGGCAGCGAGCGGCAGAGTCAGACACAAATCCAGGAACAGGCTGGCAGGAAGGAGGCTCATCAGCCATGGAAATCCCATGCAAAACACGAGTAAAAACCTCTCGAGGAAGTGGGAGAAAGGAAAGGACGGCAAAGATGCGCTTTAAGCAAAGCCAAACAACAGAAAGCCGGACATTCCTAAGGACACAATGCCTCTTTTAGACGAAGCCATCTTCCCTCCAAACCTCATCCTTTCAGACTGACTATGAGCCGAGCTTGAGGATTTAGTCTGGAAAGGAACAAGAACAGATTGGCTGTGGGCAGCAGTGGTAACAGGAGGCGCTGAGAAAATACAATCAAACTCCAGCTCAGCTCGTTGGTTTTGTTCTCTGCTCTGTAAACATTAATATGCTTATGCTAATGCTGGAATGGAGGATCATGATATCAAGTGTGGGTTACAAACTGTTTTAGTTCTCTGTCTGGATAGATTGAATAACTTTAAAAAGTGGGAATTTCACTGAGGAAGCATGGCCACTTGTACTGCGAGCTCGATAAGCATGTTTGCAGCAGACATGTTTCCCCACAGATTTCTCCATGACATAATGACAGTCAGAAGGATTAGAGCATCAATCAGAGTATTAGTAAACAATGATACAGTAAAAGACTGAAGATCAAGAATTTTTACAAGCTAGGTCACACTGTTCCAAGTGTGTTCCATTGAAACAGCTGACTTTGAATCATTTGGGTCCTTCAGTTCAGATACAAATTGCATTTTAGATGACTGGTGATGAGCCAGACATCATTAGTCTGTCCTGCCCCACATACAGTATTAAGCTCTTGAGCCTAATAAGTACATTGATTGGCAATATTACTGTCTCCGTAGGATTGATTTCACTCTAAAAAGGAAATTATTTTCTGAAGACTGCCTTTTTCAGTCAGGCAGTCACATTTTTAACTGTGTAATGTCAGTGTAAAAGGGTCAGAGAGAACATTTGGGTTGCTTTTATTATTATTTTATTATTACCCTCAATGTCATTGGCTACTAATGCTGTCATGGTATGCTTATGGCTGCACAATATCCACATAAAAAGTGATATAAATCATCTTGAACGAAACTTGTAAAAGTGTCTTTTAAATGGTGTCAAACACGAGAAAAAAAGATGTTATCAGAATAAGGGTTAATATAGCAAATGAAGACACTGAACTTCCACCCTTTGGAGTGAAATACTGCAGTATTGCAGAAAGTAATTCAACTAAAACAAATGATGTCTTAATCTGAGCCACTGCTAGACAGTGAATAACAGCAGCTAATATCCAAAGCGGAGGCTGCAGTGGTTAGTAAAAGCTCCAGCATTGATCAGAAGTGACTGGCTGGGCACAGAGGTTATTATTTTCTGCAGACCTGGAGGCTGAATGTCCTGAACTCAGATGTATGACCTGTGAAGATTGTTCTGTAAGTGGAGGAGTCGGTCTGGGCTGTTTATTCTGAAGACGCCATATGTGCAGCTGTAAGTGGACAACTGATCAATGATATGGATTGAGATTTAAGTAAATAATGCAACAATACACCAAACAGAGGCAGAACTTCCTGTAGTTTATGGTGTGTCTGTGCTGTTTGGCTGGGAGTACACTATGACCTTTAATCTTTTTCCTTCAGGAGTTTTAAACTACACACGCTCCATGATAAAAAGGAAAATCTAAAAATAAGCAAAAACATATTAGTCACTGTAATTAGCCTCAGATACATTGGCTCCAAAAACACAGATACAAAGAGAAACTGATATAAAAAGGAGAGGTCCAATGGAGGCCAGCTGATGCAAAAAAAAAGAATAACATATTGCTGCAAATGCAGTTCTCCAGTGAGCTGGCATTTAGGTAAATGATTGTGAACTACTCCATGAGGACTGAACAACAGGCAGCACTTTACTGTGACCTCTGATAAGAGGGACACATTTGGGGGCTTTTATCCTGCATATGTGCCAGAGGACTCTCTTAAAAGAAAATATCCAACTATGTCGTCCAAATGTAACATGACATTGTTACGAGTCGCCGTCATTATCATCTGTGTCCTAAGTGTTTTCATGGAAATTTCACAATCATCAGAAGAGTGAATCTAAAAATTTAAATTTATTTTGTTTTGCTTCTCATTTTGAGGACATTATCAAGACTAATCACTTGAAAAGTCTTATTTGCATTTGTTGACCCGGCTGAAACAAAGGATCTATGAACGACAAACGCACAAGTTTAGTCTCTATCTCTACTAAATACTAGTATATGTAACATACTCATTTGCACAATATAACTTTTTGCAGTTAGTGTACAAGAAGTCAATGCACAGTGCTCTTCTGTTTACAGAAAGTCAGGCAACAGATTTCAAACTGCGACCTTGGGATGCCACTGTCAATTCAACTTTACAAAGAGAAAGCACAACAAATGACTTTCTTTAAAGACATTCACAATAGCAGAACAGGTAAAGCACAGGTGTAAATAATAAAACGGCTGAATTTCATGTAGCTGCTTCAGTTTATGGTCCTAGTATTGTGCAAGTTTGCTCTCTTTCATGGTTTACTGAGACACTTGAATAGAACATTACTACTATGAAAAGTCAAAATGTCTGTGTGCATTACATTGTGGGACAGCAGTGTCCCCAACAGCACACTAAAAATCAAATAGATTAAGCATGTGTACTGACTTTTCAGCTTATACTTGACAACAACTTTCTGTATAAATTATTCTGCTGGTTTTTTCTCAATCATTTTGTCAATATCAGAAAATACTGATTACATTATAATTTCCTAGAGGCCATGGCATCTTCAGATTATTTGTTTTACTATCAGTCCAAAACTGTGAGTCCTCACATTTGAGAAGCTGGAGCTGGACAGTTTAACACTTTTATTTGTCTTTTTTTTTTTTTTTTTTAAGGACGGTGCGCTCAAAACCTGCTTAGCATTAGTATGTGGGATTGGATTGAGACAGAGGTTTATAGTATATTATCATTGTGTGCAACACACTCTGATGAAATGGACAATATCTCAAACACTTGCTGTGCGCCAGCTGGGAATACATGACTGTCTTTAGTTAATCCAATACCTTAAGGTCAAAGTGAGCAATTTGTTTCGAGTGCAGGTAGAAGACTCCATCCAGGATCTGCTTGAGGAACTGAGTGGCTTCCTCCTCGCTCAGCGACTCCTTCTCCGCCAGGAAGTCAAAGAGCTCGCCACCGGCCACGCTGGACGAGGAGAGAAAAAGAAGGAGAGAATTAAAATGTGAGATGTCTCAGACCAGAGCCAGCTACAAATCCCTGCTTAACAGAGCTCAGCTGATGTAATCTAATCATCCTGGTGCATTAGAGCGTGACCAATTTACACATCCCAAGCACATTTTAACCAGCACTGTTTAAATGGTGAAAAACCTCCACTAAAAAATAACAAAGGGGAGGATATAGAGAAGGGATAATGCCTCCTAAATATTGTTCGGATTAGTAAAGTTTAAGCATCAATATCTGGCTAGTTTTGGGCAAAGGAGATTCAACACTTTGCTTGCTACTAATCACTGTCAAGACATTGCCCAACAGTTTATCTATTGAAACTTCTAAAGCTCGGTATGGGTGCATTTCAAATTTAGAAGTGAAGACCATTCAATAAAACCACGGCGCGATTCAGCACTTAAAGGGAGAAAAGACAAGAAGAGACGGAGGATTTGTCATGGTCACAGCATGATAACATGAGTGAAAACCTGCAGCGAGGAGAAGTGTGATAAAGAGAGCAGAAGAGAGAGGAAGAGTGCAGATAACTATAATTACCGCCATTCTTATCCAGTCGTTAAGTGTTCACTCAGCGATACACACGTGTGTTTGTCTTACAGTATATGTGAGTATATGTCACAGTTAAATTACTTTGATTTTAGTATTCAATTCTCCATATTACAATTTCCATTTATTTAACCGTTACTACCATTTCATTATGATGTATTATATAACATGTGACATAGAAAATGTTTTACTTTTATGTTGCTGTACAAAAATTACCACCAATTAAAGTTTTCTCAAATCTATGTGCAGAAATGGAAACACACAGAGACACACACACACAGAGACACACACACACACACACACACACACACACACACACAGAGACACACACACACACACAGAGACACACACACACACACACACACACACACACACACACACACACACACACCACTCCTTCCTTCAGGGAGGAAACACCCGACCAGCTGCACAGCTGGGATCCCCACCCCCTCCTCCCACCAAACACCCACTCTACATCTCGGATGTTTATTTCATCATCTGCTTCATTGGTTAACCGGGTGTAAACGTGCACTCACAGACAGGAGAGGAGAGAAGGTCTCTGCCTGAACATGTCACCTCTGCCTTTTTTTTGGTACAGGTTGGTCAATGTTTTACGCCAAAGGACAGTTACTGTCACGGCTGTATTTACCCAGAGTTCAGTAGGAGGAGAAAAGGATGTGGAGGACAAAAGGGCACAGTATGAAGCCAGATATTTTTAGCATCCACATGTAAGTTGTTGTTGTTGTTTTACCTGCCCAGGGGTGGAAAAACTAAAACATATCATTATGTCACACCACCAGCTTTGAATGCTAACTGTAATGTACAGACAGTCGATGTTCTGGTGTTGTAATTTATACTATGAACTACAGCTGAACTGAAATTATTAACTTTTCAAAAATTCTACATAAAGCAGGCAAACTTTTATCTTTTATCATCTCCTCCAGTAGATGACCTTTTAATAAAATAACCCCCAGAGACAAATTCTCCCAGCATTTACCACTTTATAAGTTATAGTGTCAGACGACTCAGACCCCCTCAGTCACAACTCTCAGTCAAGTCCATTACAAAAGTCTCAGGCAGAAAAAATAGTTAATGAATGTCTCAACATTGTCCTCTTTTGTGTGAACTGTCAACAGCCATAGAGCATTAATGGTACAAGCTTGGCTTTAACACTGAGTCATCGCCTGCCTACTGCAATAGGATAACACTCCCTAAACAAAACATGATCCCATTAATTCATAAACCCTGATTTTAAGCCATTAATACAGTGGAGTGGGGGTCCCGCCGTCAGGACTTCTATCCATTACAAAAAGTCGGTCCTGGTTCTACTAAAAATGCGCAAGCACCCATACCCGGTCAAAGGCATGTGTCATCATTTACTGTTTACCTCACAGGCATCAAGGTAGAGGTGAATATAGTCTGCTGTGACAACAAACAATCCAATACAGGAAGTATGGACGCCTGTGTGATGTCTTGGCTTTAAATAAAAGTCAAACTTTACTTCGTGGTTCATATTTCATCTTCTATCAGTTCCCCATCTCAACATGCCCACACAAACACAGCCTGACTGACACGACAATGACAAACATCCCGTGATAAGAGTTCCTTGGGAGGAAATCTTCTCAAATGGCTGTCACTGGCTCAGATTGCATCTTTCAGGGAGTGCTTGACAAGAATAAGTGAGGAAATTCATGGGCTAAATCACTGTGACAGACCGCTCTGAAGATTGAAAGTCAAAGTCTCCACAGACCAGAATGGAAGCCAATATAGATAATTGTAGATAATTAATTTTTTTTCCTTCATTGCTTATTAGATATTTGCTTGATATCTTTGGACATTTACCTCACAGAATCATCCAAACTTTCACGCTTGTGTAATACATTTTCAAACCAAAATGGAGTATGAACCACTATATTAGGCCCGATTCCCCCTATCATGAAACAGCTCGGGGAGTGTAACGGAGCCAGGTCCAGCAAGAGGTTGATTACACAAAAAGCTATTATTTAAACTTAACTTGACACAATTTTAACAATGCAGTGTAGAAATGAGCAATACCATCAGTCAGAGCAAAGCTTGAATGTGTGAGATACAGTATGTGCTGTGGAGGTGTTAGATGGAGCCAAACTGAGCAATACAAGGATGGATGCCAGCTGGAAGAGAGGCAGTGCTAACGGGCCATTCTTACACAGGCATTGATGACCGTCCCAAGTGAGATGTTTGGGTCTGACAGCCCCCCCAACTCCATCCCCCAAAAAAACAGTAGTAATAAACCAACACCATCCCCCCCCGGCTGTTGTGAGCATCACCGCCAACCAGTGACAAGCTGCTTCTATAATCGTTACAACCTCTTAGGATTAATGGCTTCAATTCAGGACAAATCTGACATGAAAACATTGACAGTTCATAAATGATCAAATAATCCATTACTCAGTGAAATGAATGTTTTCTTGTTCCTGTTAACCTTTGTTCTGGGAGAAGAATATTTGCTCTTACCAGCAGCTGTTGGTTATAACGTCAGCAGTGATAGCACTTTTCGCAGCTACATTTTCTCTGACATCTAAAATGGAATCCTTCACAAATCCACTTCTACATCTTCTGATTAACTTAAAAGAAAAGATAATCGATAATCTAATAGGCTGATTACCAGCGGTGGCATTACCAGACACTGAAAACTGTCTGCTCTTAAGCAAGTGTGTTTAACTGGATACATTTTCAATTTTAGACTGGACGTTGAAAATAAAGACTTAAGCACCATTGTGCAACTGAACAGCATATTTCTGTACACAAATGTAGGCAGAAAATTGACTGAATTGGGTTATTATATGAAATGGGACCAGATTTTACTGTTTGAAACTGAAACTTAAGGGCCCAGAAAGTTGTGCATTAATCAAATCAGGAGCAGGAAGGCTTCATGTCGATGCCAGTTGGAACAATGGCACTTGTTTTGTGTTTTGGGAATGAGGAAACATTAGAACAATGTTTGAGACAAAGAAAACACCAAGTTTGTAGATGTGCTTACGGACAGCTTGCTAAAATTTCTAAATTTTAATTCTGTGTTGTCGAGAACGTCATTAAAATGAATAATAAGTCTGCATTATCAATATCATTTATGCATTATATTTTAAGAACTTTAAACTACCATTTTGTAAAACAAAGATAAATGATAAAAGCTAATGCCGTTCATTAAAGACTGTTGTCACTGTTATTTTTAAGTTTAAGAATTCTCTACTGAAGCATTTAATCAAGCATTAAAAATATTTAGATATTATTTCCAGCCTCAGTGACCTGCTCTACCAGTTTACTATATCAGGCTGGAAATGAGCCATTGACTTATTATTCACACACAAGCTGTACCATGGGCCTGAACAGGTTTTGTGCTTATTATTTCTTCCTTGCAATTGTATCATTGGTCAGGAATGTTGTCCAGCAACTGCAGCTCTCAACATTATACTCATTACCGGCTGTAAGGTGACCTACTAATGGAGGTGTACTCTATACTGCTTTTGTGCTTATTTTTTCTGAATAAGTGTGTCAGCTGGATACTTGTAATGTAAACATAAATGATCTTATAGTGCTCGGAGTTCCATGTAACCTGGTAAAACTGGTCTAACCGGTGCTTAGTGAAAAAAAAGTGTCCTTGAGCAACACAACGCCTCTAGCAGGTTACAGCTACAGTCACAGCTTATAATCAGTCTACCCTGACTACTGGTTTCTATGAGGACTTGTGATCGCCATCTGACAATCATTTTAGTTTTGAAAAACTATACGTAGGTTTTTTTTAAGGCTTTGACGGGAGCTTTTCAGTGTTTGAAATAACAACCCTGTTGATGTCTGGCATGAGACTTACAATCTTTAAGAGAAAGGAAGGAAGGCCCAATTCAAACACCTATACAAGTAATTAAAAGTCAAGATATTGTCGCCTCTACAGCTTCAATTTTGACCATCCTTTTTTAAAATTTGGCTCTTAAAAGTCTCTCAGTTGTATGGAAATGCAATACTAAATCACTGGAGTGCCCACTTTGTAAACTGAACTGTAAGACAAAGTTACCCTGATGAGACTATAGGACTATGATCATTTTGAATTTCATACTTTAAAGACCATAATAATTAGAAAATGAAGGGTTATTCTCAACTGATTTATATGTCTCACTATATTTGCAGATAGTAGCTTTAATCCTAAATGACATTTTGTCATCTGTCTTGTATCAAGCAGGTAACATGATGGCAACATGTGTTTGTTTGCATTAGCAACATCCTTTATGTAAGTTATGATTTCTTTCCCAATACATTTTAGGAACCTTATTATACCATTTTGTGAATAAAAAAATCTAAATTTTGCCCACTTACAATGAGTACAAAAAAATAAAAGAACCACTCACAGCTCCAGGATCAGGATGACCTCTGCCTTGTTTTCAAAGACCTCGTGGAGCATGATGATGTTTGGGTGCTGGATCTCCTTCAGGATGTTCACCTCACGCTCTATGTCCTCCCTCGTGACCCCTCGTCGACTCGACTTGCTGCGCCGCTTCTTGATGAATTTGGCGGCAAACTCCACACCTAGACTCCTGTGCCGACATCTTCTGACCACAGCAAACTGACCGCTGGGGATGGGAGAAGAGGGGATTGTCAAAAGTGCATATAGCCTTTAAACATCAAGACTAAATCATCTGCCAACAAGCACCTCTAAAGCTCACTAATTAATACATTACATCTGTTCCACCCCCCCGTTTCCAGTCTTAATGCTAAGCGAACCGGCTGCTGGCTACTGAGACATATTTTCCAGTAGTATCACTTTTGTCACGTAATTCTCTGCAAGACGGTAAATAAGTGAATTTCTCAACTATTCCTTAAACATTTTAACATCTGTTAAATTACTGTTATAGTCACATTATTGTTAGGACAGTGAAGAAATCATGACTAACACTCATCTACACAACGATGTCAGCAAAGAATTACAATTAATTTCAAAATGACACATTTTCAAACTAAGTTTACACATAGGTCCATTAAAAATAGGTAAATGACTAGATGCAATATATACAGAAACCAGAATATAATGGCAAATAATGACAGTAAACAAAACAAACTGATAAAATGAACAAAAGACAATAGAGATGTGTCACAAAAATAGTCAGCCAGCTGCTAGGACACTAAGGTTCAATTGTTCCCACAAGGTTCACCACTTTACCAATACACTAAAAAGCTTTTGGCCATATCTGTATGTATCAGTTGGTAAGTGGTAAACACTGAGCCATCTAAGACAAAAAGGAGTGGCTGGGATTATAAGGCATTAAAAACAGTTGAAACAGCTAATGGCAGCTTTAATTAATAACTGGCTGATGCATCCTGGCCAACACTGCCTAGAAACTGAAATAGCAATGACTGCTGAATAGACACTACTATGCATTCAAATCCAACATCAGATCAACTTTTGGAGGCATTTCAGAGACGTTCTCCAATATCATAACCCAATTTACATATATAATGTGACCATCCATCCTTTTTTCCTCTTTTGATCCCCAAGTCTGTCTCTGATTTACAGAAGAAGGAGTGAGCCAAGTGAGACCGAATCACTATATGCAGCGCATCCCTACAGAGTACAAAAAGAACACCTGCCTTCACCCTCAGCAACCCCTCGTCATCAGTTTGACAACAGAGTGTAAATTATAGCCAGGCAGCACAACTCTCAGTGTCAGCAGCACACCGATAAGAATCACAGCTCAGCACAACATCAACACAGCTGATAAACGTCCAAGCAGTAATCCTACGCCCCACACACCAGAAACTAGTTTCAGAAGAAAGCAAAGACCTTTACTGCTTCTATAAAAAGCATTATTTACTACGATGCAGTTCTTTAAACCATGTCTCTGTCAGAATATTAGTATTTTGTACAGTTTGAACTTTAGCTGGGTACAAACAGTTATCAGTTTAATATGTTAAGTTTCCTTTTATATGAAGTAACAGAGGTTTACCATCAAGATTTAAAATGAAACTCTCTGGAGTGACTGAGGCTAAACAGTCAATATATTTTCTGGGTTTTTTCCAAGGTAATAAATTCTCAGTAAAGAGATAAATGAGACAGAAATCACACCAGATTTTTTTTACCTCCACAGTTCAAATTCCCATACCTGTTGAAAAACGTACATTTTGACAGGATTGAGTGCTTATCATTGCTATGTTTATATAATGTACCGGTTACAGAAGTACCTACATCCTCACCAACAAATATAAGTTGTGAAATATGTATGATTTCTATGATCCAAACCAAATTCCACTTGAACAGACTTGTGTAAATTCAGACCAAGAGATCATTTTAAACCAAACAAATTACAAAAGTTCCCTGGTTCTAGCTTTTTAAATATGGTTTTCATCTTCTGTTATAATAAACTAAAGTTTATTAACTAACTAGAGTTTTATACTGTTGGTTGAAAAAAAAGAAAACAACAACTATGAAGTTGTTGAAGAGTTTTCACTATTATTCTGTCCAGCTGTTGTTTCCTTTACAGTGTTAACAGGCTGCAGCAGAGATGGTCCTCGATAAATGGTGAAAAAAAAAAAAAACCTGAAATGCACACATAAGCACTTGTACTGTCTAGGCAATCCAAATGTGGTGAGCCTGCGTGACATTTTGGCATGAAAAATTACTCTATATAAACAACACAGGAGTTGTTATGGAAATTCCTCCATCATGTTGCCATGTGGCATTGTTACTGAACGCAAGCTATCTGACTGGATAACGCTGACTCCACTGTCACTCGACCAAAACACCGCCACAAAAACCACTTGGGGAAGCAAGGACACTTGGCTGAGGGCTGTTGACGCCTCCGCCGATTGTGCCTCCTCACGGCCCTGGCAATCATGAAGCACTTAGTGTACCAAACACCCACAGAGGGAGGAAGAGAACATGGGAGTAGGGGGTGATAGAAAGAAGAGTGAGAGAAAATGAGAGAGTGCTACATTCTGTCTCGTTTTTTTTTTAGATTTCCATGCAGATTTACAGCAGAGAGGAAGCTATCTGGCAAAAGCTTCCTCTGCCTTGGCAATTATTATTTTTTAAATGGCCACACTCATACTGACTTACACTGTCCTGCCAAGACTAGAGTGCAGAGTAGTGAGGAAACAGTATAGTGATTTAGCTATACGTTCCCACTCTAATCCTCTACAATGTGTCTCCCAATATGATGAGTAAATACAGGATCCAGACTACAGCACTGCCAGCTGCAGAGGAGCTTTAAAGGAAAAATTATGTAAGGCAACAACAAACTCCCTCAGGGAGTATCAGTGACAAAAACATTGCCCTGTTCTAGCCCGCAGCTATAGTGTGTCCCATGGGCCGATTCAGTGGCGTCTGAAGCCATATCCACATTCACGTGGATACATCTGTTTAGAACTTCTGCATCCATGTTAACAGTTTCAGACGATCGTAAAAGTTTGCTGATTACACTAGGACTATAACAATTAGTCAATAATCGATCTCAAATTAAAATGTACGACACAGCCAATGCGATAGCTTCCTCCATTTTGGACTCTCTAGTTCAGTTTCCTCAAAAGTAAACAGTCAAAATGGTTGCATGTAACAGTTCACCAAAGTTAATATCTACACAAAAGCACTGCACAAAGTCCTTCACTTCCATTAGTGAATCCATTGATCGCCTTGATTCCCTTTGAAATAAATTATTTTGATCTGAAATTGCTTTTATAAAGGCTTATGAGACAAGGCCCTAAAGCAAGTTAAAGCTTGAATCAGTTTCCTTTGACTCTCTATAATTGCTTATTTTGTGTTTCAATAAAATCTGTCACAATCTAGTCATTGATATAGAGGTACAACAGCTAAACATTACATTACATTGTATGGACTAAACAATTGGCAAACTAACTAAAGGCAGTGTTTCCTCTAGGATTTTTTTTAGCAGTGGGGGCAGGCCTGTCTGAACAACTGCCCCCCCGTCACGCCGGCAAACGTTTTACGTATGAAACAGAACTGACACTTCGCTGCAACAGACAAGTTGAACGTTGTCCAATTAAAACGGCGGTGGCGTTTTTGGTGGAGCTGTTAGTTTAATAGTCAACTTGGAAGAAAGCAAACGTTTTGACAATAAGCTACATCAACACAACAGTATGTGGAGTTAAACTGGACAGCCCCAATAACCTCTGAATAGTTCTACTTGTTGTTAAATTGCAATGTGAGCGGCAGCCAACGGGGGTGCATTATGTCGGCAGGATAATTTAAAAGGCAACCGTGACCACATTGTGCGTCTGCCCCATTTCTGATACCGTGGCGGCAGAAATTTCACAGCGGTGGGCCGCCGCTCCAAAATCAACATAGAGGAAACGCTGTCAAGCTATCAATTACTTCTAGGGTATGTTGATACTGTTGATTGGCTATATTGAAACACAAAATAAGTAATCACAGGCCTATATCGAGGCAAGAAACAGGTCAAAGGTATAAATTATTAACTACATTAAATGGACATATTTTGAAGGGAACTGATTTGATTCTGACATTTGGAAAATTGTTTGCTGACAAACTGAAATACAAGCTAACTAAAGGGAATGATGTCTCTTTAAGGAAGTGACTTGTCCCACGACTGAGCCAGAGACACGAAGCAGACAATGTGAAGAGGAAGAGAGAGCTGAGGATGAGGGCTTTCTCATGCTAATAGCACTTCCACCCCCATTCAGTCCAGCTTCACCCTGTTGTGGTTCCCACCTCTGTCAGTCAGGTCTCCTTTGCGAAGATACAGGGGACAGAAATATCAAGATTGAATCGGTTTCTTTCAGAGAAATTGACAGAAGAGAATGGACAGCTGTTCAAACACACTGTGTATATGTAATATTACACACACACACACACACACACACACACACACACAATTCAAATGACAGAACACCTGTTACGCACATGCCTGGCCGGGTGAAGCCACAATAAGCCAGTGAGTGAATTATGCATGCAATCGTGCCTCAGGGGATAATCACAAATGACAAATGTGCTGCTGTTAATAAAATTTTGACAGCTAAGGTGATGAGAAATAGATAAATACACAAAAATCATTGTTGGAAAAGGGTAGGCACTGCCAAATATTTGATAGGTGATTGGCTGAATCTGTCACAGCTGAACTTCAACTAATCAGATACACGAACCGTATGACATGGTCAACCTCTTATCTAAGCCAGTCAGGAGAAGACAGAAATGTATTTTCCCATCGAGAAAGGCCTTCAGTGCCGTTCTTCTGTGCTCTTCTTTCTGATATAACTGATGCTACCAGCATCTATGATAACCTCTATAGGAGACCCTACTGTTGTTTAACACTGTCAACCCTGTAGCTGCCAGTACTTATATGTGAGGATCTGAGGCCTACAAGTTGAAAAAAGGTGCATATTCTTGGCAAACATAAAAAATGTGTCACATTATTCGCCCCTATGTTACACAAACAGACCTCCAGGTGAACATAAAGTAAAGAAGTTTAACAGCTCAACATGTAACATCACGTGCTAACCAACTGGAAAGGTAGGAAAGACGCTGGCATCTAATCAACTGAAATTCCAACTGTAACGAACTAACAGAGGCAAGCCGTTTGCTCAGGACATCCTTCAGCTCTTG